GACGAGTCGAGCCTGAGACCGATGCCATCGGGCCTTTACAAATGCAGCGACAGTCTCATCTGGGAGCCTCCCCTACCTGCTGACCTACGCTGCTCAGATGGTACAGTAGATTGCTCTTTTAGATATCCCAGAGTCATGCAAATGTAGAAACAAAACTTCTAGAACCAATGCTTTTAATGCAGGTTTATTGCAAAGAGGCTTAAAGAAAGTGAGATTCCCATGGTTTTTGCAATGCGTCAGTCTCGACCAGTGCTTCTCAAAGTGTGGTCCGCGGACCACTGGTGGTCCGTGAGCGCCCCCTAGTGGTCCGTGAGTATATTGGTAACATTTCACATTTTAAATAAATAAGTTAATTTAAGTTTTCCGCACTCTCGCGGGAATATCTCCGCAATGGAGCGAGGTTAAGTTTCACTTTAGATTGCATGATATAGCCCAGCGCAACACCTTCGTCACACATGTTGCCACCTGTTTGTACAATTTTCAAGCGATTTGTAATCTGTTCTAGAAAAACGATGTGTTTTTGGATATTTGTGGAGTTAGGTGGTCTGCGAGTGTTTTTTTATTGGTTAAGTGGTCCTTGGTGTGAAAAAGTTTGAGAAACACTGATCTAGACATAAACGAAGTTATGTTTTAGATATACAATCTTAACCCATGTATATCATTAGTATTATTTATTTGAAGCTTTTTGCAAATCAAATGTTAGCGATAGTTCAAATCAACATGTCACTTATGGACATTGTCACATAATTACTGATCTTGTTGTTTTTCCTATGTTCAACTGAAACTGAATTATTCAGAGTGTTAGCACTATGATTAAATCAGAATTGGGTCATAAGACGTGTTGTCAGACCACATAACTTAAAAAGAGTTTTGATTTTTAACCAACTGCCACACTTGAATGGCGTAACGAGAAGCTATATAAATATTAAGTTTGAACACACTTTCAATAAAGCACAATCTTTGTAAGCTCTTCAATGGCCGGGAAACCATAACTTCTGCTGCGCTTAGTGAAAACCGTCCTGCATGAGAATGTTGCTTTATCATCAGTGTTTTCTAACACCATGGCTTTATGACAAAGAACGCTTCACAGATAAGGAGTAGCTGGTTGGTTCGGCAGACTCGCATCTGGTTCCCCGCCTCTGATAAAGAGTAGCACGCAGCTGTGTTCCCTTACCTATATGTGGGAAATATCCAGGACTGTGTCCCACAAACTAAATGAGACAGACCCAAATGGGGCTCGGGTTTTGTATGTAAAATACTATGCATGAATGAGACAGCTAAAATCTGGTTTCTGTGTACTTCCTGTTTGCAGAGGAACCGTTTGTTCCTGAGAGTCAGTGCGGGCCAGGAGAGAAACTGCAGGACTCTAAATGTGTCTGCATTCAAAGAGAGAGCTGCCTGTACGTTTTTCTCAATCATTTTTCAATCTTTCTATCTATATGTCTTCGTATTTATTAATTACATGTTTTCAATTAAATCAATTGTATATTTGTTGTTAAATTATTCTATGTTCCTTATATTTCTTGATATAAATGTATTTATCCTTTTGTGAATCACATTTAGTTGCATTTTATTCGTTGTGGTACTATAAAAAGTATAATTTTTAAATGCAAATAATTGAAACTAAGTCGTTATGCTGAGATTTTCTAGTTATCCTGATGTGAAGCACTTTTAGTTGCATTTAATCCATTGTGGTGTATAAAACAAATATATACAAATATTGTATTACTACTATCTTAGATTTTATTTGCGCATTTCATATAACAACAAAAATGTGTGTGTGTGTGTGTGTGTAGTTCACAACCCGAGACTCTGTGTATCCTGAACATTGACCTCAGTGTTACCGTGGCGATGTCCCTCTGCTCCTTCCATGCCGGTCGTTGCCACAGCGATCCGCTCTTCTTCGTCAGCGAGGGGTCATGTGACGAGGTGGATGCAGCTAAACTGGAGTGGGCCAACTTCAGAGCCAACATGTCCTCCAAGAGCTCGGCTCAGGAGCCCTGTAACCTCGACACATGTTACGAATGGGAGACCTGCTCTGGTGAGTTGGTCGGACACAAAACATTTTACATTATGATTTTGCATTGATTCGAATAAATGATTTAGACAGAGTATAGCATTCTATTACTTTTTCTTTTATTCTGCCAGTGTGAGACAACCAACTGAGGTTCAATAAAGTCATTTTAGCCAGCCTACGAATATATGAAGGGTCTAGATATGCAGTACTCAATTATTGGTTTCCCAAAAAAAAATCATTATACATTTTCTGTAAAACTGTTAACAACTTCAATTGGAGGTATTCTTTTATTGTTAGCCTTTTTATTTGGTCCTATTGTTAATTCTGTGTATTTGTTCATTTTTATCGTAATAAGTCAAACGTTTTTTTTCCAAGCTAGTTTTATTCGACTAAAAGTCTCGGCATTTTTCTTATTTTAGTGATAGTGATAAAGAGACATTTTAGTCAAGTTTTTTTACTGCATTTAGTACCGGTATTAGTTGTCTTTTTCATGAACTATATTGAATTTTGATATACTAAGTGTTGGCGTTTAATGAAAATCTGTGCCGATTCGTCATCGTCTTTTTACATTACATTACATTGCATTTAGCTGACGCTTTTATCCAAAGTGACTTACAATAAGTACATTCGACCAGGAAGACACAACCTTGAAGAAAACAGAATCATATAAGTACATCAGGTTTCATAGAGCCAAACATTTCAAGTGCTACTCAACTGGCTTTAGATAAGCCAGTCCTTTATTAGTATATAAGTGCTTTGTTAATAATTCTATCGCTCGAAGTGGAGTCGAAAGAGATGAGTTTTCAGTCTGCGCCGGAAGATGTGTAAGCTATCTGCCGTCCTGATGTCAATGGGGAGCTCATTCAACCATTTTGGAGCCAGGATAGCAAACCCACGTGTTTTTGCTGATGGGAACTTGGGTCCCCCTCGCAGTGCGGGTGCAGCGAGCTGTTTGGCTGATGCAGAGCGGAGTGCACGTGCTGGGGTATACAGTTTAACCATGTCCTGGATGTAGGAAGGGCCAGGTTCATTCACAGCATGGTGCGCATGGTCTTGTCATAGTCATGGAAAAAAAGGTTGTTGGGAACATACAGTATTTTGTCATAGTTTTCGTCAATGCTCACGGAAGCAAACCCTTAGGCTGTAATATGTTTTGGGAACATTTGCCTTGTTTTGGTTGTGCTCATGTTTTCAGAGTGTATCCAGCAGATTATTTTTAATTACCAACCAAATACAGTAATGGCAAAAACTGTGTAAAAATAATCAAATGTTCCTTTGAGATAAATTCACTGGAATTTCTTCATCATTTTTTAAGTTGTATTGTTAGCTTGCAGTCACTCATAGTGTTTCAGCATGGATTCTTCATTCATCAAAGTAGTTTTCACATTGATATCGTTAAAAAAAAGATCATAACGTTAACTCTCGTCTGTTCTCAGCATTAAAGAAGTGTGAGTGCAAAGCTGCTCGGGACTGCCCCAGAGGTGAAGCCAACATGTTCTGTGTGAAGCTGACCCGGACCCAGAGGACTCGCAGCATGGACCTGTGCTCCATGACCGCCCTCAAATGCATCGACTATCAGTTTGAGATTCTCAATGAAGGCGTCTGTGAGTCCAGATGATCCTTCATGTGCTTTTCTATGAATCCATCTAAACATCTGACTGTATTGTCATAAGCATATATTGCACAATATTATTATGTTACTCATACACTTATACAACTGGAATGGCAAGCAAGTATACTTGGGTTCAAAGATCAAGAGTAAGTAGCCCTAACCCCAACCAACCCTAACCCTTATCAAAGGCACACGTAACTGCTCCAAATGGAAAGCAAATAACGTTGCTAAATTGAGAACAATTGTAAATTATGGAAGTAATAATAAGTATATTTTGAATAGCAGATTTTTTAAAGGTCAATGAATCCAAGATGGTGCTTCCATAAAATCCAGAAGTTTATGATATCAACCTTATGTCAAGAAGAATGATTGTGTAAAAACGACATCTCTGATTGGTTGAACTTGCGTTACCATGGAAATGTTTAGTGAGGGAACATGCCAACAGCGTCTCCTCCATTGTATGCCCTCAGATTAGAAAGGTAACCACCATTTTGACTTGTTTGGAAATGTTCTCCTGTTACGAAAAGTATATAAAATGTATTTCTGAAAACATTTGTGGCAAAAACAAGCCATGCCGTTGCAGAATCTGCCTTCATTTTAGATTGACAACGTTGTTTTTTTTAAAAAATTGTATAGGTCCAAGTTGCCATTCACAATGGTTTATACTATAGTATGAGTAGTTCCTTCACTCATATAATGGTAATGTACAAAGTGTTTTACCTTTTTCCTGTTTTCCAATTTTTGTTTCTAGAATCCATTCATGCTTAATACTCAACTCTGGCCAAGGCATAAAGCGTATTTGAGGCTTTCATACAGCTTTTCTTATGCGATACTTCAAAATGTGCATTCAAATTGTGAATGTAAACAAGTCCTTTGGTTGGAATTTGACTTGTCTCATTTCATATGTGTTAGGAAATCAAACTGTTTCGATTGTTAGTAAGTAATAAGCTGTTGATATATGCTTTCATAATTTTTTGAAAATCTTGAGTTCTGTTGGAAAGAACTTGAATTATTTCACCCTAAAGACACATTGTTTTGTCTTATTTTCTACTTTACACTGGTCCAACATACTTTTGAAAAACACAGACTTCCATAACTGTAGGATCTTAAAAATAAAGGTATATTTAGAGATCTAAAATGTATTGAAATGATTCATTAACACGTTATTTGTTATCATAACTTTTGATTCATAACTAATAATTGGCAAAATAGTTTAGTTCATAAGTCTTTATATAATAAAACAAAGCCAAGTCGAAGTATTTTATTTGATTGATTTAATTTTGTATGATTGAAGATTTTCTCTTAGTTTTAGAAAATAAGCTTATGTAAATATGTGTATGCAAATGCGTAAAAGGCACATGATTTATATAATTCAAGTGTTGTACATTTTTTTATTTACAATTCATTGAAAACAACATGTCCCTCCTTTATGTACAGAGTGAGAGAGCTCAGACATTTTTATTCTGGACAAGCCTCGATACCGACAACATGGACCTGCTCATTAGCACAGCGTCTGGCCCCCACCTCACATTCAGTCATCGTCTTGGCAACGCTGTCATCACTGGTTTTGGTGCAAAGGGGGGCGGAGTCTGTCGGGCAGTCTGACACGTTCTGACACACGCATTTCGATTCTAGAATTAAAAAAAAAACAATTATATAATGATGCAGTTACACCACATGTTAAATAATTAAATTAATCTTTTGAACATTATTCCTATCGCTTCCTGAAATCGGGAAATTACATCGCTAATAACTGAGCAAAAGAAAACCCAGTCAGCCAATTGAGTCATAAACTCGCAGGTTTGACTTATTTGGCAGAAAATGATGGTGAATGGTAAATTATTATCCAATATCCATGACAGTTTACAGACCTACTTAATGATTCAATGACATAGTATTCATGAAATGTTGTTAATGTTCAATTATGCTAATTAGAAACTATTTGGCTAATGCATAAAAGTTTGTATTTTTGGAGCCATCCAACGATAGTTTTTGGGCTGCCAAACAAATAATCTTTTAGTCCAAAATTATTATCTTTCACACTTGACGTTCAGGATAATGGGCCTTTAGAATAATCGGATGGCATTTTATCTGTAACAATTTTCCGACTTTTTCTTTATGCAATTTATTTTTAAATTAGTGACTTTCAGATTTTTCAGTGCAACTTTTCAGGGCCAATGTTTTCTTCTTCAGTTTAAAATATGTAGTCATTGTCCTGAACCCATTATAGACGTATTGTCCCAACAAACTTGATGTGCAGATTAGTACTATATTAATATCCATGTCAAAACAACAACAATAAAGTCCAAGGTGTAATAAATAGGATTTACTTACCCTGACAAACTGTCCCTGGTTTGCAGTCCTCACAGGACAGGGACAGCTCTTGTGGCCCGTCACAGTCTGTCGCTAACTCGAAGCTCCGCCCCAAACAGCGCAGAGCTCCGAGCTGACACAGACTGAGTACTCGGGTTCGGCTTGAACCGAGTCTGGCACACATCTGCAGAGAAGTCCTAATGTGGGCAATAGAGGAAAACAATCGTTACATATATTTTCTACGTAGTTCTAAAAAAAAGCCTTTCCCTGTGCATGACAATAATATGATTATAAAAAATAATACTTACGAGCACTGAGATGGCATTTTACACACACACTCAGTTATTCCTACGTTCTCCCAAGGCTTACATTTCAGGCCAGGTGGAGGAGTGGGACCTGAGAGCACTGAGGAGAAAATATAGAGGTAAACTGGATTCAATATTTGACTGACTCCAAATAAATTAAAATGTTGCTTCAAAACAGATCAGGGTTGCAGTAAAACATAATTATTTAATTGTATTTATGCTCCCAGGGGCAAAAGCTGCTAGCAAACAGATGTATATTTACACTTTCACATTGAACCTGAGAGTTAATGCAATGTACCTGCTTTACAATGAGCGCTGGCCGGTGATGGAGACCACTGCAGACTGGAACTGCACATGATCTCTGACACCTCCTCCGCGTCCAGCACCGACCCCACAGGACAGGACAGGGACACTCTGTGTCCAATCTGATAGGCTGCCTCGATAGGGGTGGCTATGATGTCACTGTTGAGTAGAGGAAACCCACATGTGGCACCTGAGATGGGAGGAGGGGAACGTTTAGCAAGAAGAACTGAGGACATAACACAGCACTGGGATTTCTAGAGGTGCATAAAAGGGACACGTAGAAAATCTTTAGACATTTTTAATCTTCATCTTAATCCACATTTGCGTACAAATAAAAAAGGAGTGACAGACAAAAATGCTGACTGTCTAATGGCAACCATGACAGTTGAAAATACTCCATTTTGGTTGAGTTAGTAAGGACTAGCTAAAAGGACTACATTTGGCAATGAGTCTGCCCTTTTTACTTAATCTGGGGTTTAGGGCCTTGAAAAACATCTCAGTAACTATCAGATGGATTTGGATTTGGTGCCTACAAAATCCCAACTTTCTTTATTGAATCGTTTAAAGTAAAGTCGTTTCTGAGATATATCGCTAATAAACTAATAATACAGCCAGATACATAACCTCCCTGACATAGTGAAAGACATACTTTTACAAACCGGCGATTCAGTCCTCCACTTCTGGGTTTCAGTGCATTGAGCCACAGCGCCTCCAATAAGGTAATAACCGTCAATGCAGGAGTATTGCACTGTGTTTCCAACCAGGTAAAAGTCCCTGGGATTCTGAGAAAATAAAACTCCAGTTTATTTATAATACAGTAACTGGAACAACCTTTTTAAACAGCATAAATCAATCAATCAATCAATCAATCAATCAATCAATGTTTATTTATATAGCCCAATATCACAAATGTTACATTTGTCTCAGTGGACTTTACAGTTTGTACAAAATATCAGTATGACAATACGACACCCTCTGTCCTTAGACCCTCACATCGTACAAGGAAAAACTTCCGGAGAAAACCCACAGTTTAAAGGGAAAAATGGGAGAAACCTCAGGGAGAGCAACAGAGGAGGGATCCCTCTCCCAGGACGGACAGACGTGCAATAGATGCCGTGTGTAAATTGAAAAGATAATACATTTGCAACATAGGTAGTCCAAATGTTTGGAAATGCATGCATAAATCAAGCAAACTCACCTCAATATATCCGTTCCTGAGGTTTGGGGGTGCTCCACATGTCTTTGGTGGAGTCACTGCAGGGAGATCGAAGCACTGAGGCTCCATCGTCCTGCACACACAAAGTTCAGAGAAAATTAAAACACTAACACCACCTTTTGCGAATTGTATTGCATAATTAGGGTATTTAATGTGTGGACTGGCTCTACAGTGCCTCACTATCACCTCTAGAGGAATACGTGGGAAAACAAGAGAGGACGGGCCAGTGCAAGTTAGCTATCATGCTAACTTAAGTAGTTAAGAAGACATAGACATCTTTGACATAACATCCACACTGTACACTCTCCACTTGTTGATAATGTTCTTTTGATAATGTATATTATGGCATATCTTACACATTAAACCACTTCTACTGTATGTGCAGTGGCGACTGGTCATTAGGGGCAGATGGGGCACAGCCCCACCTAGTGTCAGCAGAAAGTATTAAAAATAATGATTACAACAAAATGCAAAAAATAAATTATAAAATATATTTTAAGATCATGTTTAATCATCTGATTCGTCTGTACATTGCTGTTTTAGTATGTGTTCTTCTAATTAGTGTCTACAGCAGTGGTTCTCAACTGGTGGGTCGCGACCCAAAAGTGGGTCGCGGACCTGTTTCGAGCGGGAAGAAAAAAAAATTGGAATTTTTTTTTGGGGAAAAAGTCAAACTTTTATTTTGAAGGCCCGATTTTCTAACGCTGTGCATGCAGTCGGCGTTGGACTGGAAGTACCGGAGACCATAAACGGTTTTGAAAACTTCTGTCACGTAGTGATCATCTTCTCAATAAAATATCTTTGCTGATGTTTTTTCGAGTCTTCTGGCCAATCAGAATCAAGATTGTTGCTGGAAGTCCCCACGGAGAATAACTTTGCGGTAGAACTCTTTTTTATACATCCATGGGTACAACTTCAGATAAAAATGAACACATAATGAAATATGACCCCCGTTCTGATGACTGACAGGTCACAGAACAATGGGAGCTATCTACCCTTACCCACAAATTAAAGTAAGTCACACAGACTATCTCCTCTTTTCTCTTCTCTCTGTGAGGAGCAGCACGTTCAGCTGTCAGAACAAAGTGAAAAACAAACAATGGCATAAAATATTATTAATATGTCGGGAAGTAATAGATTTATTTATTTTCTTCTCAGTGTACCAGAATGCATAGTTTATGTTAGTATTTCTAAAAATCTCCTGGGGGAGAATCCCCCCAGACCCCCTGCTGGGGTTGGGTTTTCAGCATGCGTGCCTTTTTATATAGTTCAGCTTTGATTCCATCAACTCATTCAACTTTTTTAAAAGCATACTTTAGTTTTGTGAAGGGATATAAGGGATATATGCACTGTACTTCACTTTTATTAATATTGTATGCTGAAAAGCGTATATATTACAGCACGATTTTTTGTTGAATAGATTTGAGTGCTTCAAAATGTTGGGTCGCGATGTATTGACCAAGTAAAAAGTGGGTCCCGAGGCCTGACCAGTTGAGAACCACTGGTCTACAGTGTGTGCCTATTGAGCCATGTGGGACAAAACCAGATCCTGCCCCTCCCTCTCACTGTCTAAGTGAACGGTGACTGTAAAAACTACACTGCGCATGCTCAGAGTATTTTCCTATTTAATGTGTGTGGCCATAATAATGACCATAGGGGCATAGAGCTGCCATCCCCACCATACGTCATCTCACATAATTCAGAGCTGATTGGCTGTAAGTACGTGTGCCGCGAAAAGTGTGGTGTGTGAAGAGGAGGAGAGAGACGCGTCCTAAAACCAGGAAGTAAGCTGCGCATGGCTTCCCTCCACAAAAAAGCAATGAGATTTCTCCATAGGATTTTAGAAAATAGCTCAAAATAAGATGTGTGGGAAACGTAGCTGTTAGATAAATGTACGTTTTGTTCAGCCGGATAATATCCACATGTCTATCCTACTTTTATCATTTTCGAATCATAAATCCATCATTTAGATTTATGATAGACTTTTGAAACTACAAGAAGATAAGGAGGACTTTTACAAAAAAGTAATAGAGATTTTTGTCCAGAAGGATAGGCAAATGGACTTCATCTTCAAGTCAAGGTAAGACCACCATTTTATTGAAAATGGGATCTTACTAAGAGAGAACAATTCAATATTTAAATGATAAAATTACATTTTTTGGGTATCCTTTTGTTGAACTGTCTGTTTAAAATTAATTGAAGCATCAGACTAAAAAAGCTTTTGAAAATAATATTATATTTTGATTTAGGTCAAAATATAATATTTGTAAACCTGAAGAGTCACTGCCAGTGCCTCACCAGCCATGAACCTCACTGCAGAAGCTTATAGACATCTAAGTTTTTTGTGCCCCACCACTTTTGTACATATAGAAATGCCACTGTGTATGTGTATAATCAAATTAAGGATATTAAGTCTTAAATCTTCTGTTATATTATGAAAACCAAGTCAGAAAATCTATGGGTTTGCTTTGGGGTCATATATTTGGGATACACCCTGTTTCCCACAAGTTCCTGTGCATAAACTTACTGTAAGTACCGGATGTCTGGGTCCTCACAAGGCTTCACTTCCGACCACTCTCCGATGCAGTGCTGGCCATTCCTGGGGGCGGGGTTTTCGCATCTTCGGGTCCTTCTCTTTTTACTTCCAAAGCAGGTTCCCCAGGAAGACCAGCAGGTCCAGCTGCCATCGATCACACCTGAGAGAACAAATAAACATTATCTTATGCTGTTCTTTCATTGATTGGACTGCATGGTAACATAAACGTACATTTTTACCCGTTTTTTCCGGGTAAATCTTATAGAAATAACTTGCCGTTTCAAGACAATAAAGGAAAGTGGGTTGGACGTATTTGAATTTTGAATCTGGATTACATTTTTGTAATCTTAGGATTTTGTAAGCACTTTCTTTACACTGCTATTACATCTTCCAGTTACTGGGAGGCTTTTTGCTCTTAAGCTCGTAACCCCACTTCAATGATTACATTTGAGAATTTTTACTTTTCTTTAGTTTAGAAAGTTGTCTTGCTTTTCTGCAAGCTTTTTGTATTGTAAGAATGAAAATGACAAATGTAATTTGTTCATGGATGTTTGTTCTTATGCAACCTTTGAAAGATTATGTTTCGATTTAGAAGTGCTTTGTGTCACCATTGTTTCTATGATAATACTATCAGTGACATGTATCTTGTGACATTTGATCCCAAACTAATTTCAAGTTCTGTGTACCTGGTTGTTCACCAATCACAGCTCCCTGTTCACAGGCGTGGCCCCATGTTCCCGGCCAGCAGACACAGTGACACTCGGACCCCGTCAGCAGCGGCTTCCCGTTGTTCTGGCAGGGCCCGCAGTGACAGGGATGCTCCTCCAACAGGTACTCCTCTAAGGCTCTTTTCAGGTGGACTTTCTTTAAACCTGCACACTGCACTTCCTTCACCAGCTCATACAGAGGACGCAGCTGGAAAACAAGTGTACACTTTACAACTGTGCAAGTATAGAAAACATTTATACACAGATAATGTACAAAACACGGGGCAACTCCTGATTCTGAAAACTAAAGCCAATGTGTTAAAACTGCATTCTCTCTAATGGCCAACAGGGGAAGACTCAACTGGTTTAAAAGAGTGCTATTGTATATTCAAGTCCAAATATGGTTTTAAATAAGCTGGACTAATAGTAGTTATCCTGTTAGAAAAGGAAAGGTTATTTTTGTCTTTTTTGACAGAGCATGCTTATTGTTTAAAAAAAACGTATATCAAATTTGAATGTTAATCCTGCCAGTATTTTCTACTTAAATTGCAGACGCGCCATGCTGAAATTACAAATTTGACAGGAGCAGCAACATAATCAAAGGGGGGTGGGATTTGGTGAAGGGTTAGTTAAGCTCGATCAACTAATCAAACAATAATTAATAAACATCCAGATGACAGCTGACAACCAGCTGTGTACCAGCTCACTGTCATACCTTCATGTCTATGACTTCAGGGAAGTCTTTGACAGACGAGGCCCAGTTGTCATAGATTTCTCCGTTAGCTTCTGGGTTATCAAGATCCAGGAGAGCCAAAGCGCCCGTCAAAGCCATATCTCCCCCAAACACTTTGACCTTGATGGGCATGTTGTTTACTTTGTTTCCTGAAGGCAAAAGGCAAAAGAGATTTCAATCCAACTTGACAAAATGTATTTGCATAACTGTGTTCTTTGACACTTCAGGGCAAACCTTTAAATAAGGATTTCCTGTTACTTACCATGACTGGAGGATAAAGATTTTGTCAGTTTTTCACAGGTTGTCGTGACTTTCTTTCTAAATAAACGGCGTTTCACCTTTCTCCAACACCTCTGGTAGTCTATATTTGTTGTACCTTTACACAAACAAGACAGGAGCAAAATATTCAGAAATGTTCTGATGGGAACCTTTTAATGCAAGAAAACAAATCCCAAAAGTCCAAGACTTCTAGAATTGTAAGGCACTCTTAAAAGTGAGGTTTTAATTATTATCAAAGCTCTTACTTGTTGAATCGAGTGCCTGACGGTCTAACTCCAACAAGCCTTGGTATTCGCCTCCAAGTTTGCCCTCAGAAAGGTAATGTGTGCCGTATATCTCAAACAGCTGGCGGTAAGCAGAGTAGTCATACGTGTACGGCAGCAAGGACAGGGCCTTCCAGAAACCTTCAGCCAGAGTCAGATACTGAGGCGCAGAGTTTTGGAACTGGGCCAGCTCCACTTTATTCTTCAGGATTATAAGTTTGTAGGCCTGGACGATTGACACCAAAACACCAAGAAGTCATTATTTGTATACTTCTACATACACCTTTAAAGGTCCCCTATTATACTGTTTTTCATCAATATATCACAGGTCTCAGATATATACATAACATGTCTCTGAAGTGTTTGGCTCCAAACACCAAACAGATCATTGTAGCATCCCATAATCCCCTCTGTTTCAGCCCTGTTTCCAAAGTGCTGATTCTCCTCTGTTACTTTAGATGAAAATAAGGAGCCCCTCCCCACGCCCCTCTGAGAGAGATTTGGTTAAAAATAACTCAATGGTGCTCTAGGAGGAGATTCAGGTGATAAGGGGGGGGGGTTACCTTGGTTGGTGATTGGCTAATGGTTACACGAGCCAAAACAATCGTTATGACATCATGAAGTGGCCAAAATCTGATCAGCTCATTTTCAGACAGGTTTTTATAGAAATGGATCAGGACAAAAAGAGAGGGAATCTTTTTTCCTGAAACTTTCAGAGTCTCTTTCCACAGAGGGGACACATGTTGATGTAGAAGAGACATGAAGAAGAGGGGACACATGTTGATGTAGAAGAGACATGAAGAAGAGGGGATACATGTTGATGTAGAAGAGACATGAAGAAGAGGGGACACATGTTGATGTAGAAGAGACATGAAGAAGAGGGGACACATGTTGATGAAGAAGAGACATGAAGAAGAGGGGACACATGTTGATGTAGAAGAGACATGAAGAAGAGGGGTCACATGTTGATGTAGAAGAGACATGAAGAAGAGGGGACACATGTTGATGTAGAAGAGACATGAAGAAGAGGGGACACATGTTGATGTAGAAGAGACATGAAGAAGAGGTGACACATGTTGATGTAGAAGAGACATGAAGAAGAGGGGACACATGTTGATGTAGAAGAGACATGAAGAAGAGGGGACACATGTTGATGTAGAAGAGACATGAAGAAGAGGGGACACATGTTGATGTAGAAGAGACATGAAGAAGAGGGGTCACATGTTGATGTAGAAGAGACATGAAGAAGTGGATTTTGCATAATAGGTGAATAATAGGTTTAAAGCAACTAGTCACAAAGCCCAAGAAGAGCCATATCAATGGTTTCACTCTAAATAAGTTTTGTCATTACCTTATTGTCAGTGAGCTCTTTGTGGAAACTACGACGGTCGTGTCCCACCAAGGCGTTGGCCTGGATGTGCTGCATGTAGGACCAGGAGCTCTCGTAGGATTCATCACTGTCTTCATTTTCTACAGTCACCTGCAGCACAAACAGAGTTCAGCATTTGGTTTCATTAGCGTAGCTGCTGAGAGCTTATTGTGCCATATTGTTTGCCATGCTAGCTGCTAGTCCTTAGGGATTTATGACAAGACAAATCTGATGATCCTATAGAATATGATTAATTGCCTTAGATAAAACTACCTAACTGTATATACAGCAGGTACAAACTAATCATCTATATCAGTTAAAGGGGCCCATTATGCTTTTTGGGGTTTTCCCTTTTCCTGTAGAGAGTGTTCTACAGGTTGTTATAAAACACCGGAATAATAATAATAATAATAATAATAACAACACATTACATTTATAACATATTGGCTCCTTATCTGTGAACATAAACACTCACCTCGAAGTTGTACCTGAGGATGTTATGTGGCAGTCGGTAAGAGTCTTGATGGTCCCCACTGAACACCTTCCGGCACTGCCCTCCGAAGCTCAGAGTGTTGATCACACCTGCTCTCAGTTTGCCTGTTAACACGTTGTACCTGTAAGGAATGAATTAATGAACTCTTATTAAGTAGATCTGTGATTATAACCCTTTTTTTAAGGGACACTTTGTTTTTTGAAGTACACTGACCACCTTGGATTAAGTGATGTGTTTTAACAGAAACAAATGAAACTCCCCGAGAAACGTCCTTGTGGATGTTAAGACCCCAATGTTCGGAGCCAATGTATAGGCAACAATTTCACCCCAAATATGACGATTACAAGCCTTTATCACACTCATTTTCATGTTGTTGGAGTTGAATCTACTCACCCTCTGCCTGTGACACCGGAGTTTGGAGGCGTTTTGTCGAGGTCACATGAGTACTGGCTGTTGTCTCCATCACAGTTCCTCTCATCCAGACCATCCTCACAGTCCTGGTCTCCGTTGCACACCAGAGACTGGCTGATACACTGACCTGCGTTGCGTAATGTTTACAGTAAAGACAATTTATTCTACAATACATAATTTAGAAAAAACATGTGAAAAGTTACCTCTATTATAATATTGGTGAAGTCTTGCTGAATATAAGAAAGTGTAAGAAAGTATTGCAACAACTGAGACAATCTGGTAAGACCCTGAGCAAAACCTAACCAAAAGATTAGCATTCCTGGGCATATTTAAATTAATGGTAATGTTTTGTTAACTGAAATTAGTTTTTGGGTTTTATGAAATAAAAAAACTAATACTAAGAAGGGGATAAAGTTCTAAGGTAAAAACATTAAGAAGATGTGGTAGCAAACCGTAAATAACAAGATACCCAAGCATTCTATATTGAATGTACGGAAGAGGATTAGGGCCACATAAAAAAAAATTTTGTGAGGATTTGAAAAAAAATTAAAAAAAATTTGTTCTGAGAAAAAAATCAGAATTCTGACTTTAATCTCAGAATTCTGATTTTTTTCTCAGAACAAAAAAACATTTTTTTTGGGAGAAAAAAGTCAGAAATACCGGTAACTGTAGAACCATTGCAGATGGTTGTAAAATGACTTATTATGGTTTCCTCTTGGACCCCTCTGGCGCGCAGAAATGCACTCACGTCCTCCATTGTTGCCTACTGCAATGTGTAAATCGCAGTGAAGCTGGTTCTACAGTTACCGGTATTTCTGAGAAAAAAGTCAGAATTCTGAGATTAAAGTCAGAATTCTGAGATTAAAGTCAGAATTCTGACTTTTTTCTCCCAAAAAAAAATGTTTTTTTGTTCTGAGAAAAAAGTCAGAATTCTGAGATTAAAGTCAGAATTCTGAGATTAAAGTCAGAATTCTGAGATTAAAGTCAGAATTCTGACTTTAATCTCAGAATTCTGACTTTAATCTCAGAACAAAAAATAATAATGTTTTTTTCAAATCCTCACAAAAAAATGTTTTATGTGGCCCTAATCCTCTTCCGTATGAATGAGACGTAGAAACATTCAGTGTGGTAATAAAACAAGAGATACATTGAGTCATTCTGTCATAGACTTCTATCAAATCTGCCCTTTTAAGGCGCCCCCTGTTGGCCCTTTGAAAGAATGCATATTTAGAGCATTTCAGATTTGATTAGGTAAACATTCAGTGGTGTAAAAATCAAGGTAGAAGCATCTGACTTTTTTGTAATCCGTGAAGTGACCCCCCATAGGCCAATTAAAAAATGCAGGTTAGAGTCACTTCCACATTTAGCTAAATACAAGATGTCACAACATACCAGAGGTACAACGGAACCGATCTCCACAGCCTGTTGCCAGGGGACATCCTTTCTTTGAGACACATGGCTGTGCTTGTGTGGCTTCTCCTGAACATGGCGCACCCCCAAATTGGGCGTACACTTCCACATGGCGGGTCCGCACCTAAACCATTAACATGAAATCATTTTTTGTTTCTTGTGACATCACTTTATTTCCCAATGTTTTGCAACTTACTGCCGTGAAGCTTTTCTCAGAGTCACTAAATTGTGTGTATTTTCTACATGGAAGCAGCCACTTTTTGATTAAAACATCTACTATAAACATACAATTACGTTTTTCAAAGTTTCGAGGGAACCTGTCTGCATAACCTACCACACAACATGAATTGAGAGCCTTCCCTCAAGTTCAGAAAGTCATGCCAGGTTAAATCAATAATATGTTGCAGCAAATATTACGTAATTTGATCACAATCAGTGGATAGGGTAAATTATAAATCTGCGCAAATAGTATTACACACGTTATTACACAAGTTGAGCCAGTTTTTCAATGGAGAAATTAATGAAAGTAGGCCAAGTTGATAATAAGAGCTCATTGTAGGCTATATTTAAAGTTGAATTTACCCTGTGTTTGATTGGTAAGATGTATGAAATTGTATCACCATTTGTGTGATTACTTTTCCTTTTAACATGTTAAAAAAAAATCAATCAATTAAATCAAAATGTATATTAAAAATATTTGAAAAACTAAGCTTGTATTTGGTTTGGTATTTATTGTTTATAGTTACCTTTAAGATGTGTTGTAGGTATGCCCAGGTTTGAACCGTGGTTCAATTTACCCCCTGACCTGGATCAACTTACCCCTACACTGGGGCAAGTTGAGCCACAAGACTTTTTTTTTTTAAAGAAGTAATATTTTCACTGCCCTTGATCAAATATTAATTATTATCATTGCTAGGAAACTAGGGGCATAAACAGAAGGGCGACCATGGCAACCATGCTCGGGGGTCTTCTTCGCTGCTTTTGGTGTATTTTGTGGCAGAAGTACAGCGCCACTTACAGGCCCGGCATATGTACTACAGCATCTCAAGCGCTTCGAGCGGTCTCGTGTGGAAGTACAGCGCCACTTACAGGCCCGGCACATGCACTACGGCGTCTCCAGCACTCCCGAGCGTTCTCGTGTGAACGGAAGACTTTTTTGATATTGTATTCGGTTCGTTTGCGTTTCGTATACGTTTGCATGTAAATGGGGTCTGAAATGAAAACCTATACAAAGGATTTGTGGTTTAAAGTACCTTTGTCCTGGAGCAGCCATCACACTCTGACCACTCTCCATAAGACCCCCATCTGCAGTCAACATGCTGACAGCTAATAGAGAAAGACATGGACAATATAAAACAATATTCATGTTATATTTGTCGCTTGAGAATGAACAGAAAAGTATTAATCCATTTTTTTTTTTAAAGCTGCATTCTTGGGTCCCAGGAATGTTGATATGGTGGAGAAGAGAGACATTGTTCCACAATTAATACATTACTGTACAAGCGATAATATTGCAGTAAGATGTTAGGACAGTTGTGTGTACATACCATACAGGACATATAAGGACGACCAACAATGCAAAAGAAGACAGAACTGCAACCAAATCCATCTGTACACCGAAAACAGGAAAACTGTTAGCTCAATTCAGTTTGCTCTACATTGATTATGTAAAGCAAACTGATATACTCTAATTAACAGACGTTAGTTCATGAGTTAGTGAGTGGTGACAGTATGAATTGATGTATTACTATCAATTGGAAAGGGATAACAGAAATACAAATTGTAGTGTAGATAAACTCAGAGACAGTTTTAAGGTTACTGACATATAACACTGTCCATTTGTCGATATCATTGTATCATAAATAATAAATGTGTGTTTTACAGTACCTTCATGATGTGCTTCTCAGAATATGGTCCTCTTGTCTGATCCACTGGAAAACACTGGTTATATAATCAGCAGAGTGCAGAGTATTCAACACAACCCCGAGTACCGGAATTCCCAAGAATGAAGAAACTCTAATCTGTACAGCCAGATTTGTAACGCCTCTGGGTCATGAACACAGACCCAGTGTTCTTTTCCACAGCTTCAGTTCAAGGCCAGTGTTATTGCTTGTTTATCTCAAACTATGACTTTATTTCCAGTAACACTATTCATAAGCCTGTTTGCTTTGAGTGCTGAAGTGTACAAAAATAATAGTTAGGAAATCTGTTCTTTTGTGAAAACAGTCACATTTGGGATGTGACAGGAATAGTTGCATCATAGTTGTTTACGTAGAGAAGGATATCAGTATAAGTCAGGAAGATTTGGGCAAAGTTCACAAATTCCCCCATGTGGCCCATATTTGAATGCATTTGGCTCTGTTGCTCTGTGCACAAAATACATGTTGTTGTTTCTTATTAGAGTTATAAAATAAATTCATCTTTTTTATTGTTTTGTTTTTCAAAATGGGACTTTTTTACTTTTAAATAATAATAGATTTAATTTGTTAGCGCTTTTACAGGTGCTCAAAGACGCTTTACAGATATAGTGAAGGGAAAAGAAAAGGAAGGAACAACAAATAAATATATAGTTAAAGTTAAAGTCAAATAATACAAAAACAATCACACATTAAAAGCCAGATTGAAGAGGTGAGTTTTTGTGAGTTTTTTGAAGGTGGTGAGGTCAGTGCAGTCTCTGATGGGTTGGGGGAGTGAGTTCCAGAGGGAGGGGGCAGCGACGGAGAAGGCTCTGTCCCCCCAGGTCCGGGGATTGGTGCGGGTGGGGATGGATAGGAGGTTGGCTTCTGATGAGCGGAGGCAGCGGGAAGGGGCGTGGTGGGGCAGCAGGTCTGTGAGGTAGGTCTATGAGGTAGGGGGGGGGGCCTGGTTGTTGAGGGCTTTGTGAGTAATGAGGAGGACTTTGAAGTTGATTCTTTGACGGACGGGGAGCCAGTGGAGGTTCTGGAGGACGGGAGTGATGTGGTCTCGGGAGCGGGTGTGGGTGAGGAGGCGGGCAGCAGAGTTCTGGATATGTTGGAGTTTATTGATTAGGTTGGATGGTATGCCGTAGAGCAGTGTTTCTCAAACTTTTTCATACCAAGGACCACTTAACCAATAAAAAAACACTCACGGACCACCTAACTCCACAAATATCCAAAAACACATCATTTTTTACAAATCGCCTGAAAATGGTACAAACAAGTGGCAACATGTGTGATGAAGGTGTTTATCTGGGCTATATCATGCAATCAAAAGTGAAACTTAAGCTCGCTCCATTGTGGAGATATTCCAGCGAGAGTGCGAAAAACTTAAATAAATGTATTTATTTCAAATGTGAAATGTTACCAATATACTCACGGACCACTAGGGGGCACTCACGGACCACCAGTGGTCCGCGGACCACACTTTGAGAAGCACTGCGAGAGGATGCTATTGCAGTAGTCGAGTCGTGAAGTGATGAATGCATGAATCAGGGTTTCAGCAGCAGAGGAGGAGAGTGATGGGCGGAGACGGGCAATGTTTTTGAGACTTGTTTTAAATACAAGTAAAATCATTATGAAAAGCCCAAACAGCATCAAGTAAGATGTCCAGAGGAATATAATAAAATAGACGGGAATTTGGAAAGCACAGACCTCTGCCAAGGCCAAATGCCTTATCTCGCAATGCTGACAAAAACTGAAACATAACTAATGTATCCAGCCCCTTGTTACTTTTCTAAACAAAACAACAGTGATATCCTCCCCATCCATCTTTTCTGAAAATTGCTTTACAAAGTCCATTGTGAACAAAGACTGCTTAAAGGAAGTGGACTTAGTCACCATGACGTCGCCCATTGGTTTGTGCTCTACAGTTTCAAAGCCTGGAGTTTAGCGTATTGGCTGTTTTATTCTAAATAGACAAAATCCACATAATGCTATATTGAATAAGATTTGAAACTAGTGATTGAGATCATTAACTCATCAGGAAAATGTTCAGTAGGTTAATAAATCAAGGGAGAAGTAGAGTCATTTTCTCATAAACTTATTTTAATTGAACCATAGGTGTGGCTCCCTGTGGCCATTTGAAATAATTAACTTTTAGGGCACTTCCACATTGGCCACACTTTTCAGAAATGCATGTTTACGCTTGATTGTGATACTTTAAGTTAACATGCAGTTTGTTTAGAAAAGGACAAACATCACCAAAGGCAGCTACATCTTAACTGGATCTTACCCAATACAAGTACCACCACCTGATGACTGATCGCTCTGATATGGTTGTAGCCGTGAGCCGCAACAGGCCTGGATATGAATAAGTTGTGGTTGTTATCTAGTCATTTCTTATTTTGGGTTCAGCAGCAAGGCAAGGCTAGTTTATTTAGAGCACCTTTCCGCACAGGGCAACCCAAAGTGCTTTACAAAATAAGACAAAAGACATTTAAAAACAATATACAGATGAAGCACATTATAAAAAGGCATTTTAAAAACAAGCATTTAAAAAGCAAAGATAAAAAAACAGGTATAAAATACATGGATAAAAAGCCACACTGCAGTTAAAATGTGAACTCATCCAAATGCAGTGTCAAAAATAAATGTTTTTAGTCTCGATTTAAAATATCAACAGTTGCAGCTGACCTGCAGGATTCAGCAAGACATGTTACATATTAAAGATGAATACAGACAGTGTGTGGAGACGCCTTCATTCCTTTCTGGTGTTGGGACATTGACACGTTTCCCTCTGGCGGTGGGTGTGGTCGGGAATGTTGTTTTGCAAATTGCAATCTCAGAAGATCCAGCTTTCAGCTTCTTTGTATGATTTAGTTTTATTTGAACTTTGCTTTTGCTGTTAATGTTGTGCACCGAGAGAAATGCTAGAGAGGTTCAGGTTCATGTTTGTTTTCTCACTCACCGTTTATCTCTCATTCCAGGCTTCCTTGTTTTCACCTGGCATCCTTTCTGTGTCTCCTGTGCTCATCAGCGTCAGTCCCGCCCCTGATTGTTCACACCTGTTTGTCATTGTCATGTGTTTAAATTCCCCTGTCTCCCAGTGTTCCTCGTCAGTTCGTTTTGTCTCTTATATGGTCAGGTCTATGCTCCTTGTGCTCTTGAAAAGTTTGATTCCTCACTACGTGAGCGCTTTAATTTTTTGTTCTCTATTTTTGTCATCTTGGCTAGAGATTTGATAGTTACCTTTTTTGTTGTTCAATGCTGTATTTGGAAAATAAAGTATCTTACAAATACTTTACCTCTGTCTCCCGTGTTGTGCAATTGGGTCCTACATCCAAAGTGTCTGAGTTCGTAACAGTTAATAATTAACATTAACTAAGTAAACACAATGCTAACTTCACTATTTACCAAGCACCTTTACCGTTAATACATTGTGTCCTGTCTTTATGCTTGAAGATACAATGTGACAGGTCTACCATTGGTTAAGTCCAGGCCTTGTGCCTTAAGACAAATGTGTTTTTATTCAGCTCTCATCCTTCTTTGAAGGTCAAGAAGTGGGTTGTTCATACACTGGAATACTTTGAGAGTTAACAGGAACACATGTCTGCTGCAGTGCAAAGGGTTCAAGGATTACTTGTTATTTTGCCACACAGGATTGCTCAACAAAATGCAGCTTAGTCCATTATGACACACACAAAACACATGACCCAACAGTACAAAACCGCAGTTCAAACCGGAGAGACGTGATGTAAGAATTACATATTTATTGTTTACACGTCATATGAATGAAATGATTGCCACGATAATACAACAGGAGAATGTAATGGTGTTTGGCGATTAGGCCCCGGTTTGCAGGATAATCATTCAGGAGGGAAATAACCGCTCCGATTAAATCCCCGGGGTCTAGACACTGGTGGTGGTGATGAGTAGGTGAGACCGGTCTGAAGGAGGAAGGTTTAGCTTTGTCCTGAAGGAGACGGGAGGCGGGTTGCGTGTGATCATCTGCAATGACAACTGACAGGGAGGAAGAGCAGGCATTTAAGGAATTTAGCATGTGCAGCTATTGGCTGCTGAGGGGTGACGCCCTCGTATTTGATGAGGGGGGAAGGGAGCCATAGAGTGACGTGTAAGTGACTCGTGTTAGGTCTTCCTTATTGAACTTGCGCTAAAGCTTTCATTAGTAGAAGTGCATTCCTGAAGTGCATTTTTTTTAAATTGTAGGTCTGGCTCACTGACTTGCTGAACTCAGATGAAAAATAATCTCTTCTTCTAAAGCTGTCAATAAACTGCAGTCAAAAGTTGTGGGGTTATAATGACACGGAAAATAGTTATATGATTGAACTTTTAAAACATGTTGGGGTTTTTTAGGACTGTTTCTAATATTTATAGGCCGCATGTAACAGACTTGTAAGAGACTAGCCGGCGAACATACAGTAGTTGGGCATTGAGAAGTTAAAGAGACCAATACTTCTCTCAGGAGTTTGTGGCATGCTAGTGTAAGTATTGCAATTACATATAGCCTATCATGAGGCCAGAAACACAACTCCAACTGTATCCTAATGTCTGTCCTTGTCTGCTGGTATGTAAATAGACCGCAGTTTATATCATATTGACTTTAAGAGTTGTTTTGACAGCTTGTTCCCACCACACTGCCACTATATGACATGTGTGACTGCATGTGTCTCTGCCTGCATGTGTGCTATGCAAAGCAATTGTGTGGGTGGTCCTCACAGGCTGTCAAAAACAAGTTACTGCCATGTGAGAACTACATGTACCACAGACTAAACCTGACCTGTAAAGTGACTCCCAGGCTGTGAAATAACGCGCTAAACATAGCAGTTCCGTAATATGTCAAAAGACTAGTAACTAAAACCTTATATTATTTTAGGTTATTCCTTTCATTCCTTTAGATTGTTCCTCCCTTTCATCTGCTTTCATTTCGGTACATGGAACTAGGAACTTGTACTTTACTATAGAGGCTCACATCCTCATTTTAGTTACTGTTCATACAGTATAACATACAAGTGAAAATATGAAGTACTTTGAACATTTCCTCTATGCTGGACTGAATTTCCTCCAATCCATTTCACAATGACACAACACAATAGACAATATTGAACTTTTTTTTTAACCAACGTTACATTGTGCATTTTGTTACTTTGCAGATCTAGCAAAACTACTACTTTTTTACAAGATACTATTTTGAATGCTGGACTTCTTCTTCTACTTCTAGTTATTTAGGATGATGGACTTATGGACAAGCTTTAATGGAATGTAACTTAATACTTTTACTCAAGTTCTGTACAATTTTGATTTGTTGTTTCTACCTTACTTGAGTATTTCCATTAATGGGATTTTAGTAACCACTATTCTACATTCTACTACATTTCTTCCACATCAGTTACTTTGCAGATTTAGATATCAATACAAAATGTATATATTTTGATATATTGCATAACATTTATATCGTCAAATGTGCTTTTTAAACTGTGTCACTTAAATCAATTGAAAGCTGTACACAACTAAAGCCATAGCATTTCAATTAAAAACAATAAAAAAAACATTTCTATATAACAAAATATATAATAATAATAGAAAAACAAATAGAACAAAATGAATGCTGAATTACATTTATCTAATTAGACTTTAATTATTTAACAATCCGAAATGATTCCTGGAGATCTGTTGGGCGTTATCCTGCAGTAGCCAGACACCACCAGCAGAAGGCGACATTTCTCTCTTACTCGGGAACAACAGGCTGGCTGCTTCAGCTGCAAAAACACGCACACTCGCGCACACACGCACACACACACACACACACACACACACACACACACACACCACACACACACACACACACACACACACACACACACACACACACACACACACATAAACACATAAACACACACGAGGAGAACAGTGAGCAGGCGTTTCTTCGACAGCGTCACCACCCTGCATGGAGCTCGGTTTCCCGGTTGGTTTTCCAGAGAGTGTCGGCGCTGTGTTCAGAGGGATTGTGGACTTCATTTGTGAGTGAGATATTGAAATGGTGTACCCGGTTTTGCAGGACCTCGTGTGGGAGCTGTAGGACGGGAGCAGACCGCTGTCCACTTCACCACAGTGAGTTACTTCACGTTTGTTTAGCATGTCCGTGTGTTTACGCTGCTGTATGCAAACCGACAGTATCCTACACTGACATCCTCCTGACAGTGGATACTTCATTATATATTGTATGTGATGGTATCAGAGCATTTTAATCTACATATTCCTTTATTAATCTTACAACATCTCAGACAGCACTGTGTGAAAAACAGCCGAAACTGTGATAACAAACTAATTGAACTGCCATTTCTGTGAAGTAAGCCTTAATGTTGTCTATATTTGAATATATAATATACTAGCCTCTTGAGTTTTAAATGTTGCAAGTGGATCTGAACTTTAACATTAACTTATATGAACATTGTGCATTTAAATCTTATTTTTGTCTTACTACTAATATATAAAATAGAGGATTTAGCTTCTTAAAGCATTTTTGTTTCTCATGCACACTGTTCAAACTCTTTCTCTTTATATCTATATATATATAGATATAAAGTATTTTATATATGTCGTTTATATGTGCAAATAAATAAATAAAGTGTAGTCTATAGTTGGTCAAGCATGGAAAGCAATTATAAGTATTCTCATAAGTGCTGTTAAGTGTTAAGTATCCAAGGGGCCATAACGTTTAATTTGGAGGGACTTGCGTAACCTTAGTATGTTGCAATTTTTAAGGGGACATTTGTTTATATCCTAGAAAGAATACTATTACCCCCTTGATGCATTCGCTAATTATTCAAGTGGTTGCTCACAATAAATCTATCGTCAAAAATAAGATAATTATTTGTGTAACATGCACTTATTCAAGCTTTCTTTTTTTCTGTCTCATATGAATATCTTGAGGAGGAAATAATTGAGAAAAACCAGACATTTGAAAATAGTTTGAAGGTTCAACACATTGTTATGCACGGTTAAGACTCCTGCTAACACTTTTGAAATCACAGTTTATAAGGTGCTAGTTTGTCAATAACACTGTGCTTAGAGCTTGTTATGCTGTCCCCATGGGGCCAAATCAACAATGACTGTAAGGCGCCAAAGTGACTCAGTACTTCAAATTCTATGTTCTTTGGCTTTAAACGACCCTCCCTTCAATTATACAACTATGTTCTTTCATTGATGCTGCATTCACACAATGCCTAGTTAAATATTACTTAAAATACTGCGACAAATGACCTAGATTCCTTTTACGATTACGACTTACCAATGCCATCATACAGCAGGCTCCCAAAATAGTCATGACCGTTGTGTTGTCAAGTCAGAGAGCAAGGTCAACATGGATTGTATAGGACTTTTTTATTTTTAGCCTCTTTGGAGAACATGCGTTGTGTAGGCTTGTCTTTCATGGCTAATCTAACATAGATGGAGCCATTAGCCTTTTATTATCTGTAAACCAACATGACTGTACAGTAGTTTAGCCTTTTAGAAAAAACAACTGTTTATACCGTCAATGTCTGTTTGCTTCTCCCCTATACGCTTATTTTCAGTTGCAAATGTGTATTTCGTGCCCCTTGATGTGTTTTTATGCGTTAATGTTCAAAAAGCTCTTTATTGTCCTCATACTGCCTGTGCTGCAGCACCTCTTTCCACCCTCTGTCTGAAACCAGAGCCCAGTCTGCTCTGATTGGTTATCTGGCTGACTCTGTTGTGATTGGTTGGGGATGTCCCGCCTCTTAGCCTACCATATATACAATGTGTCGGAGTGCAAGCAAATAGAAGCACAAGTCAAGCGCAATCTCATTAGGATACAGAAGTACAGCAAACACATGGAGGCGTTTCAGGCAGGGGTGGAGTGTGTTGGAGAGAAACTCCCTCTGTAAAGAACTTTGGGATTTGACCCTTTGCAGACCCACCATACAACACACCACATGAAAGGGAGAACCCCCAATAAGCATAATCGTGCCTCTGTAATCCTCTGGTGGGGGCTGCAACTTGTGATCAACAAGTGTTTCAGTATCAGCCAATTCTGGTAATCAGGCTAAAAAGACAAGCTTTACATTTGATTATACAGGCCACATGTTGGCCTTTGTTGGACTCATTTTCAAGCAGAGCCTCTGCAGATTAATTCCATACCCAATACACTATGATGCATTTAAAATGGGCACAATGTGAGATGAATATATGTCTGTTATCTTCTCTGCTATCCTTGCTATAATTAAGTTTCTGCTCTTTTTTGATTAGAAGTAGAGAGGGAGAGACATTCGAGGACAATGCTGTTTTGTGGTTTAAATGACTCGCAGATATAAATGTATACAAAGAAACAGAGAAAAACTAATGAACCAAGTGTACTAGTACGTTCCCCAAACTCTATGACCTTGAGTTTGTTTCTGGAATCCACACCTGTTCATCCAAAAATAGGCTGTATATATATGAGATGATATCTGCAGCTATGAAGGGAGTGTAGTTTGTTCATGTGTCTTATCAGTGTAAATGTGTGTCTGTTATCAACATACCAACTATTGTATACACAGATTACAGAGTCAGAATGCCGTGACTACAGCAACGTTTGTGTTGGTGGAAGTGAGTTATTGTCTTTCCCTCACTTGGCCCGAGCAATGCGAATATGTCTAGTTATATATTAAGCCCTCCAATTCACCTGACACAATTAGGGACAGATTAAGTGCCTGACCGAAGACCTTTGAGGCCAAAATAGATAATGGAAAGAAAATAACCACAAATGATTTACTTATTTTACAGTCTAGGATTAAAGAAACGTAAATGTAATCCTTTAATTGCAAAGAGTAAACATCACTGGAAATGGTATTATTATAATAATTCGAATGACTGTAAATCAAGCAAGTTAAAGATACAGCAACATATTTAGACATACATTAAGAAAAATGTGTGTGGATATTAATAATATAAACACTTATATCGAATAAAATGAACTTGTAACTGCTACATAAGAATCTATTAGGGATCTTTTGTTTGTCTCTATGACAAAAATGACTGTTTTTATAAAATGTGTATGAAAGCTATGAGGAAGAGCAAAGATCGATTAAGCTTTATCTATATTGCGATACTGCATGTAATCAGGGTCAGTTAATACCAGTAAATATGTTGTATATTGAGTCCTGTACATATCAAAATGTAGCACTTGTGCTTGCAACAGCCTGGGTTTCCCCTCCTAGAAGAGATTAATATTCAATGAAAGAGTTGTTCACGCAGTTTAAATACATCGACAACTCAATACATCAGAATTAGAATCCCTTTATTCGTAGCAGGGAAATGTATGGTCTTGTGTTCAGCACATTTTGGCACTTTGGCTTCCCCCTTTATAGTCTTACATATATAGTTTACATATCAATATGTTATAATGATACCTTTATTTGAATCTTCCATAAAGAAATGTTGTTCACAAGGTGGGGTCATGAACATGATACCTCAATGATCTTATCCATTCTGACGTATGCTCTACCTTCAAAAAACACCTTCAGGGATTGTTCCTATGTGTCTGGCTGTTGACACAGATTTTTATGCTATTAGGTCATTTTATGTTTCACTCTAAATCCGTTATTTTTTTGTGAGTAAGGAGGCGTCTCCAAAACAGATTATTCAGCATTTAGGACGTTTTTGTAGAGGATTTGAATAATGAATTGGACAAATACCGGGTAAATCCTAATCACTAATTCACAGAGGGTTGAAAAACGCTACCTCACAAAATGAAAATAACACGAATCCTGAATGAATCCCTAGCCAAGGCTCAGTAAACAAGATCCAAACAAGGTCCAAAATGTAGTAAGGATGGATTTCACAATGTGCTGGCAGGAAGCCAATCCTGTTGGCTGGAGATGTATGTCATGGTGAGAACAAAAGTGTTCTCTTCAGAAAGGAAACGCATTATGATCCCACGCAAATTATATGAATAAAACGTGCTCATAATCTAAATAGGACCCTCCTAGTTAAATTACAAGGAAAAATATGTGAATTGTTCGAAAACTCTAACTTCTTTGTACGTGTTCTTGTTTGCGCTGAAAAGTTATATTGAAACTGGAAAAGGATTCAGAGAGTGCAGAACTTGTGAAATATAATGCATATCCTCTTATGTAAAGTGTCTTTGAGCATTAGGAAAGGTGCTATACAATACCATGTATTATTATTATTATTATTATTATATGATTCTGATCTATTCATAAATGTTCCATGGCCATCGACCTTTCAACAAGTGCCATGAAAAAACAAACTGAACCAAAGAACATAACCTCCTGAGTCATTGGATATTTTGAAATGATAACATTATGAAATAACACAAAGAAAATTAATCTGAAATACAAGGCAAGGCAAGTTTATTTATATAGCACCTTTCAACACAAGGCAATTCAAAGTGCTTTACAAAAAATGAAAGACATTAAGAAAATGGCATTTAAAATCAGTCATTAAAAAGAAAAGCTAATAAAATAAACATTAAAAGAAAAAAATACATGGCAGTCAATTAAACATTAAAAGAAAAAAGTACATGGATAAAAGTTACAGTGCAGTTTAAGATATGAATAGTTAAATTAAAAGCAGCGACAAAAAGAAAAGTCTTCAGCCTGGATTTAAAAGTAGTAAGAGTTGCAGCGGACCTGCAGGTTTCTGGGAGTTTGTTCCAGATATTTGGAGCATAATAACTGAACGCTGCTTCTCCATGTTTAGTTCTGACTCTGGGGACAGAAAGCTGACCAGTCCCTGAAGACCTGAGAGATCTGGATGGTTCATCATTTAGCAGTAGGTCAGAAATGTATTTTGGGCCTAAACCATTCAGTGCTTTATAGACCAGCAGCAGTATTTTGAAATCTATTCTTTGACACACAGGAAGCCAGTGTAAAGACTTCAGAACAGGAGTGATGTGATCCACTTTCTTAGTGTTAGTGAGGACTCGAGCAGCGGCGTTCTGAATCAGCTGCAGCTTCCTAATAGATTAAGACTAAGAACAGACTAAGTTAAAATTGAAGTTCAAAGAATAAAGTAATGAAGCATATACTTGAAAAAGTCATACTAAGGGTCATTTTTCATTATTAACCAATCTGGTTATAATTTGTCTAGATTAACCAATTTCTCATTTGGTATGTAAAAAATGATATTTTGCAATAAGAAAAAGACAACGTCAACGATTGGATGATAATCAAACTAGTTGTTGACCATTCTCCTTCGATTGCTTCATCGATTTGTATTTGTATTTATTTATAGAAGGACCATGCATACAAAAACATTAATCTCAGCAAAGAGAAGAGATGCAATATGCCAGATTATAGCTAATAGCTCATTTCCATCTGTGGTCCTCAGACTGGTTCATAACAATCAATAAACAAATAATAACATTGCATGATCTCTATCAGTCAAACAATTTTAAAACCTGATTTAAGTACAGCTCAATAAATTAATACATAGTACACTTGAAATACACTTACATGATCTCGGTCACTCAAATAATTACAAAGCCTGATTTAAATACAGGTTACGAACATAATACTTAGTACACTTCAAATACACTTAAATAAAATATCTAAATTATAGCATGACAATACAGTTCAAATAAAAAAAAACTCAGATTACAGTGTAATTAAAGTTGGCATGACTGGTTGCTTTGTTGAGAAATCGTTGAGTTAAGGTTCAAGCGTTCAAAAGTTCTGAATACTTTACCATAGATCATATTAGGGCTGAACGATATATCGTGTCATGGCGATAACCGCGATATGCGCATGCGCAGGGACGTGCGATTTTATTTTTAAAAAAAATGTCATTTTTTTTTTTAGGGCGCCGATATTAAGTAGGCAAATTAACTCAAACACGTCATGTTACAATTATTTTTGCTGTTTGCTACAAAAGGAAAACTTGCGCGGCTCTCATGTCAGGGGTACTTGAGTGAGTGACATGCAGGCTCTGCATGCACAGCAAACCACCAATCACAATCATTCTTGATCAGATCACAGCAGGCCCCGCCCCGCTAGTTTGCAGACCATCAAAACACCGGTAAAAAATGAGCGAGGCAGAGGAGGACAATACCGGCGAGAATGAAGATTTACTTCCAAAAAGAAAAGCAACATCTGCCATCTGGAACTATTTTGGATACAAAAAGGTTCTTCTCTTCTTCATTCACAGATGAACCCCCTTATTTGAGGGTAAGCAACCTTTAAGGTATGATGAGTCAACCAGTTAAGATCCAGACGTCCTTGACTAAAATCCTTCATCCGGTTAAATATAGTTAAAAAAAACGCAATATATATCGCAGGGGAAAAAAATATCACAATGTCAGTTTTTTTTCAATATCGTGCAGCCCTAGATCATATCAACTATGCTCTAAATTATAAGGGAAATTATACACAAATGTCTTCACATCAAGAAGTCAACTGTATCTAAAGCATCAAAAACTTTTTCAAATCCTTAAGCAGTATAACTTTACTGTATTACACACATTCAAAGACATACAAGGGGGTCTGTACACTGAAACTGAAAGATTGACAATCAAGTTGACTTTGACGTATTAGGTTCGTGTCCTAAAGAGTCAGGTATTTAGAGAAATATTTGCATAGTTCCTCCAGCTGAATGTTAGGATGTAGAATAACAGATAAGCTGATATGCACTGGAGCCCGGTTTACAAACTGGAACATTACGTTATTTGTTGAATGTGTTTATATAAAGCACTGGTTTGATCCTGGGTGTACCTAACCTCTCATCTGAGAGAAGTTAAGGAGTGTTTAATGGTGGTAGTGGGCTGGGCCTTCATTGGCTGTGTGGTGCAGCTGGGTGGACTGCACGGAGAAACTAACTATACGCCACATGTTTTCTCCACAGCTCAACACCATGACTGTCGCTCTCACCATGCTCCTCTTCCTCCTTCACATCTTCACTGCTTCAGCGCAGGAATACGCTTCTGAGCCAGGTATGTGTATGAATATTTATGAGAAGTTTCGATTTTTAAAGCATTTCTTGGCATTTCAAGACATGATTGCATGATGCAGATTTTGAATTATTGTTATTTTATATCACATATTGTGTTATTATGGTTGCAACTTTTGTGGTTGGCATTGATTTAGATTTGTTTAACTTTTCTACACATTTTTAGATGTTTAATTATCTTTGATGTAGTTGGTTGGCAATTACAAGTTGCGCAACACCAGATAAAACCCTTAATAGACAACAGCCCAATTTGAAAGCGCCTTGAATAATACAAAAGATGTCCAGTTGCAATGTTACTGTGTGTTGCGTACTGATTTGGCATGCAAATGAATATGTGTTGCACAACAGCAAAGCCCTCCACACAGAGCGAGCAGATTTTCTAGTGAATTGGCTTCCCAGGAATTCTGGAGAGTAGAGAGTACTCCACTGTTGAACAATGGGAAGCTGTTTAGAGTGTCGCGCCCCCCCCCCCCCTTTTCTCCGTAACAGCCCCTCAGTGGTAATAAAAGACTGTATTTTCGCACACACAGGTTGTATTTTACCCAAAGATACACACGGTCTGCATTGACCCTTAATGTCACATGGGGACATCCTGTGCTTGTCACATTACATAACACTTGTAGTGTACTTCAGCTTGGTGTTGACAGATGATGTGTTCAGCCTGTTCTCCTGCCATTTACTTTTATTCTGTTTTTCTTTTTATGCTTTACGAACAAGGCAGCCGTGTTCTGAGAGGCATGTCATTTCCCCCTGTAGCGTAACAAGCAAGTGAAAGCTTTCAACTTGCTGCTAATTTGTCCTTTGAACTCAACGGTGCCTCAGCTCTGCATGTTTTTTACAGACTCGTGCGCTACAGTTCGCCAACTTTGAATACCCTCCAGATTTTTCGGAATCGCTGCATTCACATCTCAAAAGGAGTTATGGAAACCAATGTGGTGACAATTTGTGGTAGATAGCTTTTTGGTATGTAAAATGAAAAACTAATTATCTCAGTATTTATAAGAGACGTAATGTATCTTGTAGACAGAGCTTATGGCTGGCTATGTCTTGTTTACGTTTGTTTAGTAACGTTTAATGCTTTCAACACTTAATTCTCCTTTGCGTTATTTGCTTAATTAATTGAGTGACGTCCAAATACTCTTGCTGGGGAAGGAGTGCTAACGGCTATAAAAATTGAATACACAATGTACCTAAAAATGTATTTGAGGCATGGGAATTAGCCTGTGGTTGCGGCTAGCCTACTGTACCTTTCAATGCTCTAATCAACACAGGTTGCTGCTAGCAACAACCCAGCTGTTTTTGTTGATAGCAACTTGAATGTATAGGAAATGCTTGATTATAACTTATTTGAAGAGTTGGGTCTTACAGATTGATAGTTGTGCGTTAAAGCTTGGTTGAGTCACATTTGAGAAGCTAGCAAGTCTAAACTAGATTTTAAATGTATAAAACTAGAAAACTCTGCCAATTTTGCCAAACTCTTTCTAACGAAAGTAGCTAGCAGCACCATCTCAGAATGTTGCTAAATCTAACGAGAAGAGGTCAGAGCTGTCTTCTTCTCTTAGTTTCTCTTTAAAGCATGCACTCAAAACCCATTTTGCGATAGTGGAACAACAAGTACAGGATGGGAAGATCGAGGGGAAATTGTGCACCATTTAACAGATCATGGATGGGATGTTCTCTGCGCAAGATTAAAATAAGCACTTTTATACTAATAAAGGACTGGCTTACCTAAAGCCAGTTGAGTAGCACTTGAAATGTTTGGCTCTATGAAACCTGATGTACTTATATGATTCTGTTTTCTTCAAGGTTGTGTCTTCCTGGTCGAATGTACTTATTGTAAGTAGCTTTGGATAAAAGCGTCAGCTAAATGCAATGTAATGTAATGTAAAAGATTAAAATAAATAAATGCACGACAAGGTCTAACCCGCCTTCATTTGTGAATCTCTCGCAAGATAGTTACATATTTACCTTTTAATGGTTACAGTAAAGCCAGTCTGGGTAAACCTTTCGCAAGGTTTCTCCGATGGGTTTTCAATTTAGACACAACCACTTGGCACTAGCTTGATGATTGGATATTTCTTACTGAAGATCATCTCTTGTACTATTTTACGGACATTTCTAGGTACTCTGTAGAAAATGGCTCCAACTTTAAATCCACTGGACGCTCAAGATTTAATTCGACAAATGAAATAGTCCCTGTAGGGGGAACTTGAATATTCTTCCTCACCACCTGATTACCACTGTATATCATCCAGGAATCAGGACATTGCCTCTTGACATTGCTTCTTGATGTGATTATGAGGTCATATTGCCGCTCCATACATTCAGGCATACACAAGCTTGTTATGTTGTTAGACCTTGTTAGTTAGTTGTTAGTAAAAGGTTCCCCACATTACTATTGAAAGCGTTTGAAAGCTCTTAGCCATGGTAGGAAATGGCTTTTTCTAAATACAGAGGATGAGGTCTTTCCTCCTGAGAGTGCACTGATTGATGTCCGGACATGTGCTCACTGGAAGACATTAATGAAGGCTTGCCACCTACATACTGAGCAGATGTTAATAGATGCTATAATGGAAATACAGATGACAAAAACAATAAGCTGCCTCTATAACATACGGCATCTGCTGTATGAGTGAGTCCTTTTAAGGAGATTAATAGCTGCTATTTCCTGCTCCGCTCGAATTTGTTCCTGAAAAGGAAACGCATGCGGTCTTTTCAAAACAGATTGAGCGAGGATGTTTTTGTTTCACCCTGAAATAAACTGTCGGCAGCATTTAGAGAGATTCATGCTGTGAGCATGTTTACTCTGTATGCGTGTGACCTCAGAAAGGGGAGTCCTGTAATGACAATATGTTGCAAATAGATATTTTCAATCTTGGAAATTGTGTGTGTGTGTTTTTTGGCTCTGATGGCTGTGTTCACAAAGTGCTTGGCTGCTGCCGCTCACATGTTTACTTACACCAGGGGTGAACTCTGTCTCGCGGCTGTTGAGCAAACACAGCAGCGAGCGGAAAATGTATGGTTAGCGAGTTGATTTAGTTTGTGAAGGGATACAGGGCCATTCATAACTTGACAAGGAAGGACAGCAAAAATAAAGACCTTAACAATACTTGATGAATTGTTTTGTGTATCCACCAAACAACAGCTAACCCTATCAGCTCAATATGTTATATCAGGAAACTGCTGTTTGTGTAAAACCAAAAGTAAAGGTTGACTTAAGTCAACTTACGTTAACTCTTGCCCCTTACATAAGGTAATTAAATGATGACATATGTTATGTTACATAACATAAATACTTAAAATTACCCAATTTATGACCATTTACTACTGAAGTAGGGTTTTTAACAAGTAGTAGTAGGGCTAAATGGGACCTATAATTATTTACAATCAAAAGTAAACCACAATGCTTCCAATCCACACTTTTTTTTACTGGTTGCAAATATAGACCAGATTTGTGTGATATATATGTGATACAGTACACTTTCTAGAAACTCATGTAGGTAACCATTCCCATATACAATCCTCAGATTTATATGTATGTGTTTGACAAACCTCTATTAATTAAAAGTATAATATAAACTGTATGGCAGAAGTTGGATGTTTTCTATTGTCATATCATACGTATTTATCAATTGTACTACTGTAGTTGCTGTCACACCCAGAAACATGTTTAATAAATCAAGTTGACACACACACATGCACACACACACATGATGAGGTGAGACATGTCAATGCCCGGCATAGCTGAGTGTCAAATAGATTTTTCTTTTAATCCTGAGCCAAGCAGAGTTCCGAGGAGTCGGGAATCTGGTAAACAGGTTATTTTTAACCTGTTCCTCCTTTTCCCTGAAGCACCCTAAGCGAGCCAGAGGTTTTAATGGTCGCTCTGAGCACTGCCTCTCAGCTGTGAAGGAGCCATCTTGTGCTCGGCAAGCATGCACTCGTGTGTTCTTACATGTTGATTTCAGCAGCTGCTGTCCCCAGAATCATTGATTAGGATCCCTACTGGTAATACAATCAGCAGCCCTGCTTAATACAAAAGCACAGTCAGCTATTTGTTTAAAGGGATAACTTGTCTACATTAGACAACTTTTCCATTTCAGATTTACAGTTTATTTTATAAATTCAAATATGTAAATTAGTTTTTTTTTTTTCATATTGTCAAATAATGTGGACTAACCTTTGAGTGGACATTTCCTTTACATTTAATGTCTCTTTATTTATTTTAAACTTTATTTTCTTTTTATAAAAACCTTCCCTATGTGTATGACCATCAGTCAACAGCATTCTAAAAATGGTAGTAATTTACAAATATTTATAATTTATTTTATGGCTGTCATGATAAGGTTTTCACTATGATGATTGTCTGCAATAGATTTTTCAGTAACAATATTTTCTAAATGTTACTAAGAGAGGACCTATTATGTAGTGCTGGGGGGAAACGATTATTTTGAAAACGATTAATCGGGCGATTATTTGATCGATTAGTCGACTAATCGAACGATTATTTTTCTGTTGTTAAATTCATAAAAAACGTAATGTAAAAAAAACGTAATGTAAAAAAAAATGTTTTCACGATACTGTGTCTCAGGGGATCTTAATATTTAAGAACCTATTAATGTATTATACCAGATTAACGGAAATAATCTCAGCTAACTGACGATACAAACCATGTTTACCAAAACAAAACACAAGTCTCATAAGAAGCATCTAAATGACCCCTGAGCGAAAAATGCTAACGGACATTGGCACAGAACTCAAGATAAAAGTACCCTTATTACTTATCGTAGCTGCACATACAAGATATCCGATTAAAGCTGAGACTCCACAGATTATGTAGGTACATAGTATCATCACTGAGTGATCCGGACTCGCGACAGGGGAAGCAAATACAGTCATCACAACACGTACCTTCACAGAGCTTCTAGGGAGATCGTCTCACCACCGTAGCTGTCAATCTGATCAAAATACGTGTTCAATGGCATTAAAATGAGAAAAAACGCGGCTGAATCGGTTAATCCATAGGTTTTTAACGTCTATGTATAAAAAAATTATTGAATTTATAATCCATAATTCCATTTTAAATCGGAGAGCAAATGCTAGCTGCTAATGGTTGCCACCACAGCTAGCTGCTGCTTCCGGTCAAGCAGCAGTCTCAGTGAGATATAAATATATAAATATCTTTGCGTTTTGGACTAACTTTAAAATATTCCCATGCTTTTGAAGACCTAGGGCGAGATGTTTTCGTTTGAGGGCTTCGTGCGCAATCCTGTGAGGAGGAGTTGGTAGCCGTTTCAGTCTCCATTGTGTTAGAAGTGCGATTGCGAACTGCTTGTTGCTTTGGGTGACCCACGTGTGTGTGGCGTCATACAGTCTATGGTGGCGACGCGTCGACGCGGAAATATGTCGTCGACGATATTTTGAAGTCGACGCGTCGCTACAGCACTACTATTATGCTCATTTGCAGGTTCATATAAGTATGTAGTGTCTCTACTGGGACATGTCTCCATGCTTTAATGTTCTAAAAGCTCTTTATTGTTCTCATACTGCCTGTGCTGCAGCATCTCTTTTCACCCTCTGTCTGAAACCAGAGCCCAGTCTGCTCTGATTGGTTAGCTGGCCGGCTCTGTTGTGATTGGTCAACCGCTTAGAGATATCCTGACCCTTAGCCGATCACGTACAATGTGTTGGAGTGCTAGCCAATAGAAGCACAAGTGTTACTTAGGGATGTCACTATGTTATGGAAGTAAACAAAGGAGACCAATGAAGGTGTTTCAGGCAGTGGGGGGTAGTGTGTTGGAGAGACACTTTTGGATTATAGCCTGAAAAGATGTACAAAAACCTATATATCACACTATTAGGGTGGCGAAGTCCATAGGGACTTGGCTTGGCAACTGGAAGGTCACCAGTTCAAGTCCCGGAAAGACCAAGTGCTACCGAGGTGTCGCTGAGCAAGGCACCGTTCCCTACACGGCTCCCCGGGCGCCGTACATAATGGCAGCCCACTGCTCCTAACACTAGGATGGGTCAAATGCAGAGAAACCGTTTAGTTACATAGTACCTGTATTACGTAATGACAATAAGTTGAATCTTCTTCTTCTTCTTCAATAGGAAAGGAAAAACCCCAAAAAGCGTTATAGAGCCCCTTCATTTGTTTGGCTTTGAGAGTGTGAAACTCCCTACAGACAGACAGACAGACATGGTTTGGGAGCTTAGTCTGCTGCGAGGAATCTGTAGAAACATGCTCTGTGTGCACACATGGGTTGAGTTTACGCAGCTAGTAAAACTGGTTCCAAGGAGTACTTTCTGTGCCTTCTTTGAGTTCACAGAAAGCAGATTCCACGACAGCCGTGGTGGTGAACTCTACCACCGCAGCTTTAATTTGAAGAGCAATAAAAGGACTTCCAGGAAAAAGCTGACGTTTGCCCTGTGGCTGCGATGCTCACAGGGTTTAAGTTACAGCTACTATCCTCTCCCTGGAGCACAGCCATGATTTATATGAGTTGCACCAGAGAGGAGAAAGCGTCATACATCTTTACAGTTGGAAAATAATTCGATGTGTGCTTACTTTTCTTCCCCTCCCTCTGTTCCCTACAGTCCTCCCCCGGATAAACCCACATTTCACGGGCTGCGTCTCCGCCAATTTGGAGACTTTCCTCTGCAGATGGAATGTCGGCACTTCCAAGAACTTCTCAGAACCGGGAGATCTCCGCTTGTTCTACAAAAACAAAGAGTAAGGGGAAATAATGATTACAGAAAATGCTCTTTCTGTGAGTTTAAGCAAACCAAGGTCACACATTGAAAAATGGGAAAGAGATAAGAAGAGGCCCTTTTCTTTTGAGTTCATCCTCCTTTCTTTCTGATAGAGTTCGGGTTCAATAACGTAACCATTTAAACAAAATGCCTTTTAAACAATATGCAATAAATATTAAAAATACAATAATAAGTGTTGAAATGTTAAACCTACATATATATTTGTGTTCTTATCATTGAATGAAGTGCAATATTGTTTGATGCAGCTAATAAAAGGACTAGGAAGAAACAAAAAGATATACAAATGGATTGCATGTGAAGTCAGTTAGTAGTACATACTGTATATTTCTGATATCAAAGAAGGTGCAGATGACAGAAATTGCACTTAAGGGTAGAAGTACATTTACTTTAGCACGGTTAAAAGAACCTCTTTCTCCACCTGTTCTAGCAAGGTCACTGCTTTTACTACTCACATGTGCACATGGTTGTGTTCAAGCGTTATCTGCAATATGGAGCACCTGCTCACTCAGTTGACAAGGCAAGAGTCCAGTTCAGGTTTACACTTAGCTGTGAGATATTACTATATCTGAGGGCATGGTAGTGTTTCTAACAAATGCCACGTGAAACTGCCACAAATCTGCTGATTCTCTGTCTGTTACTTTAGATGAAAATAAGGAGCCACTCCCCACGCCCCTCTGAGAGAGATTTGGTTAAAAAGTACACAATGGTGCTCTAGGACAGTGGTTCCCCACCTGGGGGGGAACCACTGAAGATCGCAGAGGGTGAGCCAGGCTTCAGATGATTTGAGGCCAAATATCATATTTAGACTTTTTTTTTTTTTTTACATATAATTGTACTGCAATACATGATTGTCGCTAAAAGCCTTGTCTCTACATTACAATAAAATATAAAAAATAATTGATTAATTAATTTGAATACAAAATCAAGTTAGTAGCTATTAAAGGCATAAAAAGACAGAAATGTATAATTGTTTCTTTAATATAAATGTTTCTTCTGCCCGTAAAGTGTCCAAACCGGGCTTGTATAAGCGCATTTAAAAAAACATAGTCATTGTCCATGCCGGTTTCAGTTGGATTATTTGTCACAGTTGCTCCGATCAGATCGGTCTCCTCCATTTTGTAGATTATTTACGACTTTTGAATCCACATAAACACATCGGCAAAATCCGGCTTATTTTGAGCATGTGTTTTAAACAGTTTAATCCCTTTGTGAATTGTTTCCACTTCCGTCGTCCTTTCATTTCTTCATTCAGCGGGAATCCAAATGAATGAATCCTGAGTCCAATAACCATCAAAGTCACTCCAATAGTGCTCCTTAATTACGCTTTCATCCTCCTTTAACACAATACATCACATTCATCCAGTTTGTGACAGTAGTTGTAGCATTTTTGAGACTTTGAAACCCATGTGTGTGTGTGTGTGGTGTGTGTGTGTGTGTGTGGTGTGTGGTGTGTGTGTGTGTGTGTGTGTGTGTGTGTGTGTGTGTGTGTGTGTGTGTGTGTTGTGTGTGTGTGGTGTGTGTGTGGTGTGTGTGTGTGTGTGTGTGTGTGTGTGTGTGTGTGTGTGTGTGTGTGTGTGTGTGTGTGTGTGTGTGTGTGTGTGTGTGTGTGTGTGGTGTGTGTGTGTGTGTGTGTGTGTGTGTGTGTGTGTGTGTGTGTGTGTGTGTGTGTGTGTGTGTGTGTGTGTGTGTGTGTGTGTGGGAGGTTCTTGGGAAAAAAGGTTGGGAACCCCTGCTCTAGGAGGACATTCAGATGATAAGGTGGGGGGGGGGGTTACCTTAGTTGCTGATTGGCTAATGGTTACACAAGACAAAAAATCATGATGACATCATAAAGTGGCCAAAATCTGATCAGCTCATTTTCAGACAGGTTTTTATAGAAATGGATCAGGACAAAAAGAGAGAGAATCTTTGTTCCTGAAACTTTCAGAGTCTCTTTCCACAGAGGGGACACATGTTGATGTAGAAGAGACATGAAGAAGAGGGGACACATGTTGATGAAGAAGAGACATGAAGAAGAGGGGACACATGTTGATGTAGAAGAGACATGAAGAAGAGGGGACACATGTTGATGTAGACGAGACATGAAGAAGAGGGGACACATGTTGATGTAGACGAGACATGAAGAAGAGGGGACACATGTTGATGTAGAAGAGACATGAAGAAGAGGGGACACATGTTGATGTATAAAAGACATGAACAAGTGGATTTTGTTCAATAGGGGACCTTTTAAAGAAGATAGAATACAATTCTTCTAATTTTATAACAAATGTTGTCTTCCCCCCCCCCCCTCATTGCAGACAGGCTAAAGAGTGGATGGAGTGTCCTCACTACAGCACGGACACGCCAAACGAGTGCTTTTTCAACCAGAGCCACACATCCGCCTGGTTAGATTACCGAGTCCAACTGCGCTCGAGGGATCAAGACATCATGTATGACGAGAACCGCTTCGAACTTCAAGACATCGGTGAGTGAACTGCACGCCTGTCACGATCCAGACAGGAAGTTGATAGAAAGCAGAATATAAACCCATGTACATATTGAAAGGCAAACAATACGTGTTTTCATGCACTAGTCAATGTTTAGAATTATGCATATTTTGCCACCATGATATTCAATCAGTTAGTATTATTACATATAAGTACTTCAATTCATTAGACAAATGTTTTCGTTAATCACAACAATAATCTTTGATAACTCATGATTATCCAAGTTTCAAAATGCTAGTATTTACTATTGTTTTTAGAGGAGGAAAACAACAATTACTTGTTGGTGTTGTAATAAAGAAATGCATGCCAAACTGGTAGAAGAAATCAGATGGGTTTTTTATACTTTTATTATAACATCTGAGCCTAGTTTTGATGATATTTGAATTCTTTGCATGAAGTCAAACAGAGAATAAATGGTCTTCTCTGTACATTGATGAGGATATCTGTTTGTAAAATGTAAGACTTTTCACAGGTAGAGTCTTGTATCAAATTTCACAATACATATCTTTAAATGCCTTTTTCTGTAAAATCATGATTTTTCTTTAGCCAGAAATCTCCACTTCAGTAGCACTTTCATACATCTTACTTTCCAGATTCATTCCTATCCATATTCTGAAGGTCCATGTATCATTGATAGCCTGATGTATATCACATGTTGTATTCCTATTCCTAGAAACATGGAGAACATAGATCTTCTTAAGTGGCTTTTGAATATTACTTGATGTATAAAGAAAAAGAAAATCCCTGTGTAAGTAATCAAATAGAGACATTTTCATAGTGATACTCCAAATAACATCTCTCCACCACCCATGTTCTATTGAATGAATCCATGAATCCTTATGTGTAAGCTGTACTTACTGTATACGCAGTTTTGTTCCAAAAGAGTCTTGTTCAATTGCTGATATTAAAGGTCCCCTATATATACTATTAGGCCCTTTTCTTTTGAGTTCATCCTCCTGTCTTTCTGATAGAGTTCGGGTTCAATAACGTAACCATTTCAACAAAAGGCCTTTTAAACAATATGCAATACATATTAAAAATACAATAATAAGTGTTGAAATGTTAAACCTACATATATATTTGTGTTCTTATCATTGAAGTGCAATATATATTGTTTGATGCAGCTAATAAAAGGACAAGAAGAAACAAAAATATATACAAATGGATTGCATGTGAAGTCAGTTAGTAGTACATACTGTATATTTCTGATATCAAAGAAGGTGAAGATGACAGAAATTGCACTTAAGGGTATAAGTACATTTACTTTAGCACGGTTAAAAGAATCTCTTTCTCCACCTGTTCTAGCAAGGTCACTGCTTTTACTACTCACATGTGCACATGGTTGTGTTCAAGCGTTATCTGGAATATGGAGCACCTGCTCACTCAGTTGACAAGGCAAGAGTCCAGTTCAGGTTTACACTTAGCTGTGAGATATTACTATATCTGAGGGCATGGTAGTGTTTCTCTCTAACTGAATAGTAAGTGCATTGCATTATTCTATATTTTTTGTCAATAAATCCCACGTGAAGCTGCCACAAATCTGTAGTTTCTTAAATAGACACTTGAAGCTAAGTCCAAAAGTGAGTCAATCTCATGTTATATGCCCATATTTAAAGGTCCCCTATTATACTGTTTTTCATCAATATATTACAGGTCTCAGATATATACAAACATGTCTCTGAAGTGTTTGGCTCCAAACACCAAACAGATCATTGCAGCATTACCCATAATCCCCTCTGTTTCAGCCCTGTTTCCAAAGTGCTGATTCTCTGTCTGTTACTTTAGATGAAAATAAGGAGCCCCTCCCCACGCCCCTCTGAGAGAGATTTGGTTAAAAAGAACACAATGGTGCTCTAGGAGGAGATTCAGGTGATGTGGGGGGGGGGTTACCTTGGTTGCTGATTGGCTAATGGTTACACAAGCCGATGCCTTTATGACATCACAAAGTGGCCAAAATCTGATCAGCTCATTTTCAGACAGGTTTTTATAGAAATGGATCAGGACAAAAAGAGAGAGAATCTTTGTTCCTGAAACTTCCAGAGTCTCTTTCCACAGAGGGGACACATGTTGATGGAGAAGAGACATGAAGAAGAGGGGACACATGTTGATGTAGAAGAGACATGAAGAAGAGGGGACACATGTTGATATAGACGAGACATGAAGAAGAGGGGACACATGTTGATGGAGAAGAGACATGAAGAAGAGGGGACACATGTTGATGTAGAAGAGACATGAAGAAGAGGGGACACATGTTGATGTAGAAGAGACATGAAGAAGAGGGGACACATGTTGATGTATAAAAGACATGAAGAAGAGGGGACACATGTTGATGTATAAAAGACATGAAGAAGAGGGGACACATGTTGATGAAGAAGAGGGGACACATGTTGATGTAGAAGAGACATGAAGAAGAGGGGACACATGTTGATGTATAAAAGACATGAAGAAGAGGGGACACATGTTGATGTATAAAAGACATGAACAAGTGGATTTTGCATAATAGGTGACCTTTAAAACTCTTTTGTTTTCGCCTGCAGCGCGCCCAGATCCCCCGGTGGGCCTGAACTGGACTCTGCGAATTGTGACCGACAATAACTATGACGTCATTCTGAGCTGGAAGCCGCCTCCATCTGCAGATATGGGATGGATAACGCTGCAGTACGAGGTCCAGTACCGCAACGCCATCTCTGACCAGTGGAAAGCGGTAGGTGTTTGACACTTAATTCCAGCACCAGACACTTTTTACGCTGCTATGGACAATCTGGCACTAATGTACATTCCCAAAGATATTGAAGTGACTGTTATTTTTGTATTTATTGATTGTTGTGTTTTTATCTTAATGTGTGCATATGTAAACATGTGTCTGTTGATTGTGTATATATAGGATATACATATTATATTTTTGTATTCGGGATTGTGGGAAACGGCATTTCGATCTCTCTGTCTGTACACACAAACTGAAAGATTGACAATAAAGTTGACCTTGACTTTGATACATTGATTGTGAATGTTTCTTAGAAAATTAAAAGGAATGAGATAAGATGAAAATAAGATAATTTAGCTGTTCCACTTCCTCTGATGTTCAAACCTTGTTTTCTTACCACAGGACGGCCTTTTGAAGAGCACATATCACTCTATTCTCGGGTTTCAAACTAACGGCAATCATGAGATTCGGGTTCGATGCAAAATGCTGGCTGGGGAACAGTTTGGGGAGTTCAGCCAGTCTGTATTTGTACCATCTGAAGGTAAACACTCACTGAATAAAGTCTGGATGAAAAAAGCTGTTATGAAAGTGTTTTCAATTGTACGTTACACCCCAGAGGCTGCAGCTGAACGTCCTTGTCACCATGAATAAACCTTTCAGTGTTCCGGCTAAGAGTTTATCTAACAGCCCCCTCCATACTACTGCTGATCATCTGAATCACAAAATAAAACAAGAATCATGTTCGAGTATTTGGCTCTATGATCATAGTAACACTGAACAGTTTATACTGAGTGAATCCAACCACATATATGCCTAAATACTCCTAAAAATGTAAGCCATTGTACTTGTCAAAAAAACGAACAAATAAAGGCATAGTTTGGATTATTTGAAGCAGGATTGTATGACTTACTTATCCATAATCAGCATACTGTAAATCCTACAGTAGATGTGGGTCAACATTTTGGGGTTACAGGGTATGGCAAGCAGTTGGACCCAAACACAGAAACCAATGGAAGCCATGGTTGTGTATACATGTGTCAATTCACAACAGTTGAACATAAAGCATTGTACATTTTTGCCTCTTTAAAAGAATGAAATGTTTTGTCACGGCTGGAGGGCAAGGTAGACAGGACCCAAATGCAGAAGGTTGGTTGAAAATCAAATAATCCTTTAATTGCAGAACTAGGCCAGGCAACAAAGTAAAATATGGCAAGGCAAACCATTAAATCCCACAGAACAAAATCCTTCCAACGACTTCAAGACACACAAGACTAATCCCACGAACAAGACACAGGTGGGGAGGGAGGAGAAAACACAGGGGCACAAGGTGAACACAATCGGGTGATCAAGCGGGAGGGAACACAGAGACAGGAAGCAACAGACAAGACTGGGGGTGAACACTTTTCAAAATAAAACAGGAAACCAGAGACAGATGTTTGACGGGACAAAATAAAACAGGGAAAACTAATATGGATGTTTCTCTCCCTCTGCAGGTTTCCCCCAGGAAAACCCACACCTCACGGGCTGCGTCTCCAACAATATGGAGACTTTCCGCTGCAGTTGGAGTGTCGGCACTTCCAGAAGCGTCTCCGAGCCGAGAAACCTGCGCTTATTCTACATCACCAAACAGTAAGGAGGAACACTTTGATAACCGAGCAATGCTCTTTCTGTGAATCATAGGAAATGAACGTCCAGATAAAAAACGGAAAGAAATTTGAAGATTTTTTATTTTATTTAAAGTGGACCATGCTATATTTTAATAATATATTGTAGGGCCATTTTTCAAAATACCAAACAGATCATGCATTTTAGCCATGCCTCATTTCGCTCTATTTGCTCTTTTTTAGCCCTGTTTTTGCAAGGGCTGAATCTGAGAAGTCTTCTTCGCTGCTTTTGTGGCAGACTACAGCGCCACCTACAGGCCAGGCATATGTACTACAGTCTCCAGCGCTTTCGAACGGCAATGGCCGTGGCTGTCTTCTCCTGATAGGTGGAGAGTTGCCCATATAGGCGGAGCTCCTCGTTTCTGACGCCAGAGATATTTCAAATCTGTATCAGATCCGTTGCAGCCCCGTTTTTAGAGATTTGGGTACGGAGGAAAAGAGAGGGTTTTGTTTTCTGACACTTGGTGACACTTGGTGACACTTGGTGAGTTCCCTATATGTATGTATAAAAGACGTACAAAAGTGAATTTTGCATGATAGGTCCCCTTTAACTATTCATGCTAATGTGATAATTTCAGCAAATGTAAAACAACAAATTGATGGGTAAGTGACTTTAGAAATGCAAACCAAAAGCTTCAAATTAATGGAGAGGGAAAATAGTTTCTCCCAAACTGATTTGTCCAGTATTTTCAAACAGGGAAATGTATTTGTTTAAATATGTATTTACAGATTTTGTTATGATCTCTACCACTCCCCTTAGGCCAAATGTTCCACGTTGTCTGCAAGATATCTCGTGATGTAATTGGCAGAGTGGCATAAAATGTACTGAGCAATGACCCGCCCCCCCCAGAGGATATATACTTTTTATTTGAACAACCCCATGACATGCGACTGAGAATCGCATTCAAGGCAGGCTTACATTTACATAAAGCTCCACTACTGGTCTTAGAATAATCTAATATATATGTGTCTGTAAAATATTTAGGAACTGCTTCGAGTAGATTATCGGACTGAACAAAGTAATTCCCGTCATTTCCATGCAGTTTTTTTTTTTAAACAACTGGTGTCTTCCTCGTTTGCAGACTCCCCCACACTCCTCCTGTGGAGTGGAGGGAGTGTCCTCACTACAGCACAGACAGGCCAAACCAGTGCTTTTTCAACCAGAGCCACACATCCGTCTGGTTAGATTACCGAGTCCAACTGCACTCGAGGGATCAAGACATCATATATGACGAGATCCGCTTCGAACTTCAAGACATCGGTGAGTGAACTGCACGCCTGTCACGATCCAAACAGAATGTTGGTAGAAAATAAAAACCCATGCAAGACTTTCGTATCAAAGGATTTGTTTGCAACCTGGTAAAGTACCCATGCTTTTGTCCATATTCTCAGAAAAATAAATACCGTTTTTAACTGGCGTTTGAAGTGAAATGCGTACACCACTGTTTTTCTTTATGCTAATGCTGCTCAGTGGTGTTCTTTGTATGCTTGTAGACTTTCATTGGTTTTATAAGTAAATCTTTCCTTGGGCTGGTTCTTTGTAATCTGTGCATAGACACTATAATTATATAGATATTTGTCCTCAAGGTTAGACAGATCTAGGCCTGATATTGACAGAGATGATTACTATTCCATTTTAAAACATCGAGAAATAGCTCTGTTGACCAATCTGATTGATCTTGATGGTTTAAAAAGTGTGCGTGTCTTTTTGAATATTGCATATTAACTGCATTTTTTGCTCATTCATCTGTGGTGCTTTACTGTTGTATTTTTCTGTGTATTGATGATTATAATGATTATCTTAGCCATGTCACTCTTAAAAATTACATTTCATATCTAAGTAAGACTTTGACCTGGTTAAATAATGGATATGTATATTGTAACATCTTATTTTAGACTAGTGGAAAGATACAGACATTTTAAAAAGTGTTCCAAAGTTTAGCATCCACATCCCATGTATTGATTGAATGGATCTATGTGTACGTATAGAGTTTAGTTAAAAGAGAAGTTTGTTGATAATACCATGCTGAGGATAAAGCTTCTATTTTTTGGCCTGCAGTGGAGCCGGACCCTCCAGTAGGCCTGAACTGGACTCTGCTAAATGTGAGTGTGACTGGCACTAGCTTTGACATCATGCTGAGCTGGAATCCTCCTCAATCCGCCGACGTGAAGATGGGATGGATGACGCTGCAGTACGAGGTTGAGTACCGCAACGCCATCTCTGACCAGTGGGAAATGGTGCGTGTTATATTTTAGTGTGTGAATTACAACTAAAAATGTACAACCTATGTACATTTGATTTGAAATATCCGACTATAGACTGATTGATCTACTTTTTTACAGGTCGACCTTGTGAAGAGCACACGTCGCTCCATTTTTGGGCTTCAAACCAATGCCAATCATGAGATCCGTGTTCGGTGTAAAATGCTGGCTGGGAAACTGTTTGGGGAGTTCAGCGAGTCTGTCATCGTACACGTACCATCTAAAGGTTAACACTCACTGCATTCAGGCTGACCATAATTGCTTTTATATACGTCTTTCTACATTTTAGCTGTGAGGCTGCAGCTGAACGTCCTTGTCACCCTGAATAAACCTTTCAGTATTCCGGCTAAGAGTTTATCTAACAGCTCCACTTTTTCTGCTGAGCTTCAGAATCATAAAATGAAAAATAGTTTGTTGATGTTATGTAGTTATCCTTGTGATCACACACACACTGTGACCAACATTTACCTGAAGCAATGCAGAAACACAAGCAAAAAAAAACAAGCAGAAGAGCAATCAGTTCAATGTTTCCCTTTTCTTTTAAAGACATAAGACAAGTCCATATCCCGAAAGAAAATTCAAGTGAATCCACTTTAATTAATACATTTAAGATGTACCTCCATTTGTTGTACCTAAACTAAGATGTCCACCATAGATTGTGTTTATTTATGGATAAAAACAGTTACCAGAATTATATCAGTTTAGAGTGTTAGCTTGCCAACATTTGTAAACTTGCGGTCGATGGAAAATGCTGGCCGATTTGCAGATGTTTGGTCATAAATCAAAGTATTTGGGCTGACAAAAAGATAACTGAACTCATGAATTGAATGAGTTCTGAATTACATCATGAGACATTTCAGTGGTGGACTTACTGAGTGACCAACCATGCAGCTAGCATCGCTTAAAGGTCCCTTGTCATGCTTTTCCGGTTATTACCCACAACGTCCCGCCAACACGGCACCCAGACCCCACGCAGCATTCTCATCTGTTTGTCATTGCTGGTGTCATTTTCTGGTTGCTAGCAAACGCCATTGTAACACATAATCACACATCAGAGCACAGTGGGCTCATAGGGAGGGAGGGGGGGGGGGGAGGAGCTCCAACAAGCCGTGTAGGACAGAGAGTGAATACACATACTATACAGAGATGCTGTATGAGAAAACCAATGTGATTTAATCCACTTCATTATGTACCTTTTTATTGCACTACATTTATTTGACACTCATACTTACCGGCTATTTCCTGCATATAAAACGGATGACATTTTCTATATGTACAAAAAGGTAAATAAACCCAGTTTTTTAAAAAGAAAACTGTTTCCAACAGTTTTTAATTCCTCTGAAATGTATATGTAAGTGATAAAACTAAATAATATAATATTCTATAATAATATGATACTTCCAAAAGGGCCATTCTGCACTCAAAGTACAACATGCTTTTAATACCTCTGTACATATACTTAAGTAACGTGTAGAATTCAGAACTGTTACTTATAGTGGAATATGTTAAGACAAAGGTACTTTTACTTAAGTTAAAAGTCTGAGTATTTTTTCAACCTCTAATGCAGAACACATCTTATTATTTGATTACCGGATAACTATTTAACACAACCGTACTTAATTCAATCCAGCTTTCCTTTAACTGGAGGAAGCCAGGTGTCTTCAGGTCTAATACAGGTTCTCATAAAGAAACCTCATAAAGTAAATGTGAGGACACTCTTTCATCTGTCTGGAGTCTGAATAAGCGCCTGAGTCATTTCTTTGAAGCAGTTTCTGTCTCAAGGACTGAGCCATTACGCAAATAAGAGAACACATTGAACCAGCAAAGTTATGTAAGTCAGTGATTTGATACTTTGATGTTTTATATTCATTGAAAATGTCCTTTTCAGTGGTGTCTGGATTCCCAGTGCTGGCCTTGCTCATCTTCGGGGCCCTGTGTTTAGTCACCATCCTGATGTTGGTTATCATCTCCCAGCAAGAAAAGTAAGTATTGAGCAGTGTCAGTGTTTCTGTGTGGGAACGGCACACTGTGGGCTGTGGACCTCGATAGGCTCGCTATTCAAAAGTGTTGAACATGCTCTGCAATGTTCGTACTGATGTCTGAAGTCAAGTCTGTTTTTTTCTATTGCTTTCTTGTTATTTTGTTGTTGTTTTTTTACTAGGATCCCCTTTATTCGCTACCCCATGATCCCAAATCCACACATACACAGGGTATATGCAGGAATCCTGAAGTCAAATGTAATACCTTTTAAGACCCTTTCCATACATTATAAGACCTCATCGCTACTTCGAGTTCTAACTGGTTACCTTGGCGACACACTTCCTTCCTCCTTATCTTCCAACCGTTTGGACGCAGACTTGCATTTCCCCATAACGATGTTGTTTAACAACCGGCGTAAACGGACCTTGGCGCGCTATCAAGCAGTGAGCGTGCGATGTCCTGTTCAGATGACGTCAAACCCAACGAGATGCCATAAATAAACTACACAGAATCACACTACACACCTACGCAATGATTACATTCAGGCAGACTGTAGAATACAACCTCTTTGGACCATTTATATACTTATTGAAAACAAGCTACAAAATGTAAAACCTTGGAAAATGCCGTTTAATACTTTTTAATAGCCTTAATTTTCGCTAAATTGATTTATCAACTTTTAATACTTTTTAAGACACCCTGAAACAACTTGAGAGCAATGTTAATGATAATAACTTTAACAATAAACAGAAACTAAAAGAAATAAAACTGTTTCCAGTCGAAGGAGAGATCTCACTGGCAGAAAAAAACATAATAAAAACAGACTTGATTTAATTAAACAAGATCTGCAGGCAAAGTTTATACAAAGACATACACCAGAAAACTTTTTACAGTTCATTCTATAACGAACAAATGATTTCTGTACTAATTTTCAAATAATAAAACATTGCTTTTTCATGCAAGGGTCAATTTTGAGAATAAGGATCATCAACCAATATTCATATGTAGTTATTTGTTTTACTAACTGAGCCTAACTGTCTTTTATATTTATCCTAAATTACTTTCAAAAAGGCCCTCTTTGCATATGTATCGCATTTTTCTCTTAATCTGAGCCAAAATTGTTAATTTGTTTATGGTTGTTGCCATTATTTTCTTATTGATGTAGTATGACACGGAGATATTTTCATGTAAAAAATCTATAAAAACCTTTTTAAATCTAACATGGCAACAATTAAGCACTATATTTCAACCCGGCTTCATCCCATGTTCAAATGATTGTTCTGCAAGTGTATATTTACTAAGTTTGTCTAATTGGTTTCTGACTTTTCTACTAAATTCACCAAAAGCAAGCATTAAAAGGCCTTTTCGCGCCTCTTAAGATGTCATTTCAGAAAACCTGATTCAAACTTAATTGGTTTAATATAAGTGAACAACAGGGGAACTCATGGTGATATCATGGTGTATCACCTTGAGTGTCGACCCTTAAAACAAGCTTTTTTTTGTGGGAAAGGTAGCAAATTCCACTGTCTAGTTTCCCAATATTTAGGTGCAGGAACTACCAAAGGACCTTGTTCTAACCATTTGGTAATATAACCATGTCAGTAAAATATAAAATATTTTGGTGCAAGTATTTACAGTAGGGCCTGGTCAAAGTACAAATGTTGCAAAATAAGTCTAGTCTCAACTTTGAGCGGAGATAAAGCATCAGGCCTCTACACTCACTGAATGAACAATGGAGAGCTTGAGGTTCATGTTGAAGCTTGTGCGAATATTCTTTTATCGCACTTGACTGAACTGCTGAACAACATTTAAGATTATACAAAGCTGGAGATTGCGAAACCTGTCTCACTGAGTGAGTTAGGCATTTAGCTACTGTCTAATTGATATGACACAAATAGGTAAGCTGTTAATCCAGGATGACACACAACAACTTTACTTCATGGGCAGAGTCCAGTTATGGCGTTTATTAAAGGGAAAGGCAACTTACTTCTCAATGCATGAGTCTAACTAAAGATAATGCCCTTTGTACACATATCAATGTCACAAATGACTTATTTAATGTAAGGTATAAAGCTAGTTGTTACATTTGTCCTTTGTTTCTTCCTTCCCTAAGGTTGATGGTTATTCTTTTGCCTCCTGTTCCTGGACCCAAAATAAGTGGAATTGACCCTGAACTACTCAAGGTATTCAAAGCCACATATCTTTATTTGTCCTTATTGTCTTGCACTGTGTTTTAGTGACATTTGTAACTTAAAATGCATAAGAGAAGCCATTTTCAGACCCAACTTTTATTTTTGACCTATAAAGGATTTTTTCACCTACATCACACTTCAACCTCAACTATTTTGGTTGGCTGAATAACTCACTCCATGGAAAATATCAACAACATTGCACTGTTTTCGATTTGGTCTCAGAACATTTAACAAGATAGTTGGGTTGTCGGATGTGGGATTTTTTTTTTTCACCCAAATTATTAGCGTTTGGCCTCTAAATACTTTACCATCTGAACTTACTCTCTTATCAACTCTTTTTTCTCTTAATCTCTCAGAAAGGGAAGCTTAGGGAGCTGAGATCCATCCTGGGTGGCTACCCTGATCTGAGGTCGGAGCTGTACAACAAAGACCCCTGGGTGGAGTTCATCGATCTGGACATCGAGGAGCAGAGCGACAGACTGACGGACCTGGACACAGACTGTCTCATGGAGCGCTCCCTGACCTCCAACTGCTCCCCCCTCTCCATCGGCTTCAGAGACGACGACTCGGGCCGGGCCAGCTGCTGCGATCCGGACCTCCCCTGCGAACCGGAGCCCTCTCCTTTCATTCCTCTAATCCCGAATCTTACCGAAAGCAGAGATTCAGAACAGACAAGCTCGCACGTCCCAAACCCCAACGCCGGGGAGCATTGTTTTGCAGCGCCAGGTAGAGAAGCGTTGTACACCCAGGTGAGTGAAGTGAGGTCATCTGGCAAGGTGCTGCTGTCACCCGAGGACCAGACAGAGGTGGGACAAAGCACGAGTAAAGACAGAGAGAAAGGAATCTTGTTGGAGAAAAAGAAAGAAAACACAGAGTTGCAGTTCCTGGTGGTGAATCCAGATCATGGAGGCTACACCTCTGAGCTCAATGCTGGTAAAAGGAGCCCCAGGGTGTCCTCAGGAGACATGGGTGAACCCTGCCAGATAGCAGGGTACTCAAGTTCAACCCCATCCCTGTCGCCTTACCACAAATCAGATACCACCACCGTGTGTCCTCTTCCCCCTGCTCCCGTCTACACCGTGGTGGGGTGCGTTAACAGGCAGTACAGCCTCTTACTCACCCCGAACTCGACACCTCCCCCCCAGCTCATAATCCCAAAAATCGTGCCGACACCAGGCGGCTATCTTACCCCTGAACTTTTGGGAAGCGTAACACCATAGATCACCTCTGACATGTTCAAAGTTTTCATCTAAATCAATGGAAGGCAGAGACAAGCTTGGGAAACGATTTGCTCTCCCAAGAGTATTGAATGTCAGGTGTCCTAAAATAGTCTGTGGGTTGCTTGTGCTCCTGTCCTGCCTTCACCTCTGACCTCGTGTTGCTTCCTCTGACGGGCTGTAACAGTTTAGTTGGAAGTTTGCTATGAGGGAGGAAGAGAACATAACAATATGCTTGACTGCCGGTGTGGAAATGGCAAAGGGAAACTCTATCCTTTATTTGCAGTTGTGTTTTGTCCTGTTGATGAATGTAAGTCCAATATTCACTCACAAAAAAATATCTGACTCTTTAATAGCTAATTGCTCCACTGTCTTCACCAGATTTTTTTCAGTGTTTGATTTTGGCGCTTAGCCCAAACAGATGTGGATCTGCAGAGCAACCCATAGCTGCATTTTCAATTGTTTCAAGGGAAGCAACATATCTTCAGCGGATTACAATCGTAGATGTTAACATGCTGTTAACATTGTGTATTGAAAAATTAATTACGCTACAAAACTGCTTGAGTAAATTTAGGCAACATAGTATTTTTGTTGGGTTAAAAAAAAAAGCATCATGGTTTACCTTAAAATAAGTATTTGTTCTTGCGTTTTACATTACGAACGCCAATTTAATTATGTAAACGTCGACTTAAAGTTTCACCAGGGACATGAACAGTGGTTTCATGGGTAAAAATCATTAGTTAGTTTGACCCATTTCAACGTCTTTCCTGAGCGGATTTCCGAAAAAGAATTGTTATACAAACGTTCATAAATATGTAAAAATATGTTTCATTTAAAACGGTTTTGACAATGCAGTTTCGTTGTTGCAGGTTTTGCAAAGTTGATGGTTGTTTACTTCCCATTTTTGACATTAGTGGTAGTAATTTCATTCAATGTTGATGTAAACATTTCATTTTACTTTTATATGCTTCGTTCCTATAATGTTGTACATATCAAAGGCTACTTTGTGATACAATACATTCAGATGGAATTACTCTGTGATATATCATGTGCCATATTTTGTGGTTTTTCATATTGTTTTCATTCCTTTCAATAAATGCCACAATTGTATTATTTTTAACACTAAAACGTATTGGGGTTCAAATATCATATGGTTTCCAACACTTGAACTCCAAAAAAAAAAAAAAAAAGCAAGACCTATAAATGTGTAACGCATCAAATGAAACATATTATAGGCTATTAGATGATAATTACTTCAATGTCATTACTATTTATTTTCCTAACTGTGTTTTAGAGCAGACAGCTAAAATAGATTTTGGGTTGTCAGTTGCAAGCTCAATCAGTATTTCTTTTTCACTGCATGGACTATAAAGGTTTGTAGTTGTTGTCGGGCTGACAGCGCATTTAATGCAAATGATAAATTAGGGTTACATGGTCATCAGTGTAACATTTGTATAGTTATTGTATTTTAACTGTTCAACGTGTTACAAATAAACAACTTTATACTTTTGCTATGTGTCTGTCTTAATATCAGCTAGAGTACACAGGCGACTGTATCATTTATGTTACGAGTGTAAGGCTTTATATATACAGTCTATGGTGTAAGGATGAATAATAGCCTTCAGTAGTAGAATAAATAGCTTTTTTTAAGTAGGCCTACATGTTGCAGCATTGCACTAGGTCTATCATTTACATTCAATGTAAGTAAAAGTTAATGCATTTACAGTAACATCCTATGAGCATCTTCCTTTGCTTAATACTAATAATGAATTTCAGTGATGAATGCTATGCATGATGTATATACGTCTATATAAACAACCGTTCAGTAAATGTTCTGTGATTACCGAAATCTTGAGAATTTGTATTTACCGCCATTCAAATAGAGTGGCGCAGTCCCTCCCGAGATGGTCCGCCATATTGGACAACTCCGGACGGCAACACAAGATGGACAGTTGACACAGTGGCTTTTAGCAAAGCTCAAAAAGAAAACTCGAGAGAGATGAGTTATTGTTATTACAACGTGACTTCACTATTATTTAACAACTCTTTTTATTGGGTTATTTTATTTGGGGTTAAGTACATTGTCAGAATAAATGAGAAATGAATTTAACTTCTGTTAAGACAGCTATCATACTGAATAAATATTTACTGTGAATGTATGCAAACATGTATGGCATATGGCTGTCTAACAGAAGTTAAATCCATTTCTCACTTATTCTGATAATGTACGTCTTAACCATAGGTCTTAACCATGGATGTATAATAAGAAGGTCTTAACCCCAAATAATATAACCCAATAAAAAATGTTTATATTTATCTATTATCTAAAAGGGGCGTGGCCTTGCGTAGAGGTAAAGTACCCGGATGCGTTGTTAACCACATGATTAACATAACCTGCGCGTGCAGGAAAGGGCTAGCTTAATTGTGTTGCCAACAGCTAGCTACTATTGTTTTTATCTGACTTAACATTGGAACTTAAGCATTAATACAATACTATTAATTTTCCCACATCCGTTTTCTTTTTAACTAGGGAAATGATAAAGTTCAACTGTGTTCTCCTCGACATGTTAATGGACGACTTCTCTCTGCTAGAACAGGTACATAAGCTAACGTTAGCTAACTCACTGAGGGCTTATTATGGATGACTACCGTCTTATTTATTTGCCTGTCGTACCGTTTGTTCCACTTTGTTATACTTGAGGATAAGTTGAATAATTTTTATTTCTCACATACAAATAAATACAGAGATCTATGAGGCTGATATTAACACTTAAAGTTATTTTAACCGCCGTCATTTTCTGACAATATCAAAGTAAAAACGGAACGCTATTAACGTTATGTTCAAAGAATATGATTACCATTAGCTAATGGTAATCGTTAGCTGCTAATGTTTGGTTTGTTTGTATGTATGTTTTACTATTTATTTTGTGTTTAACGTCAATTTACGTCAGAGTTGAGAAGGTTACTAAAATGTAAAATGATATCGTGAAAAAAAGTCTCGTAGTTATAAAATATTGTCAAAAACAGTCATGTTTCATATGTATGTTTACGTTGAAAAGTTGAAATCTTGCTAGAAATTCCTTTGTTTTTAAATATGTACCAGTAATCTGTAGACAATCTTTCTTTAACATAACTGTAAGGGAATATATTGACCTTTTTATGTATCCTATTTACATAACCGTTACATGTAAACCATTACTACCCGAGCCTGATGTCAGCTATCAGTATAGATAAATAGGTGGGTTGGTATAATGTATTTACTCTTGTTTTACTTTTTTTTTAAACAGAAAATTGCAGAGGTTAATGGCAAAAATAACATATTTGAGATCATGCTGGAGGATGCCAGTAGACAAATGAAATTCTATCAGACCAAAGAGAAAAGTCTGATTGAGGGTGAGTTTTTGTTTTTGTGTACTACAGTATTTACTTCCTAAGATCTGAGATCCTTGTCGAGCTTGATTCTGTTTGTGTATGTCTCCCTCTACTGGTACATCTGCTGAACGACACCATCATGTTCGACAGTTGCTTCTCTATATTTCAGAAATCCAATTCTTAATTTCTGCAAATGTAAAGCTGGGCTGATAGGAAGCATTATTTGCCCGGAGGTTCAATGATAACATATTGATGAAAGTATTCTTCAGTATATTGTGCACATTTCGGCTGCACAGCTCTTCCACTCTACATCTGGACAGACTGCCATTATGTGTATAGTTCATCTCCTTAAAGCTAACTGTTATATTCTTATTGTACTTTTTTTTTTCAAGTAGTTCTATAGTTGCTCCCTTTTTACAAATGAATACCTTGTTGAAGACTGCACATACATTTCTCCAGAAATTCAAGCTATACATTTTAACATCCTTAAAAATGTTCAGTGGTGGCATAAGCTTTATGTCTCTCATTGAGTTGTTTTCTTTTATATCAGAAGCCAATGATATACATATGTATAGTTGCTAATTATTGGTCTACTTGTTGCAGAAAGAGACAGTCTCCTCGTCACAGTGAACCGGCTGCAGCAGACTCTGCAGGAGCAGTGCAACCTCAGAGGTCTGAACAATAACCCACTACCAACAAATGCAATTACCTATAAAAAACAGTCTTTGACTTTTGTCAGGGGAAAAAAAGCAATCCTATGCACCCATGTATGTACAGGTTTAACAAAGAGTTAAAAATGAATATGTCCTCTAATCTACTTTCAATGAATAGCTGAATTGAATAGCACTGCAGTTGATTCAAATTGTGCTTTGAAAATTGTGATATTTATTCAAAATTACACTTTTATCACTTGTAAGTAACCACTCAGCACCATTTATGTATAGTATACTTCTAGATAAAGGGATTTTCATAATGGTTCTTCTGAATATGTCCATATTGTAGTGGAGAACGAGAGACTGAAGAGTGAAATGGCTAGCCTGAAACAACACAAGGAGAGAGCAGCCGAGGTAAGAAAGGAATTTATTGTTAAGTTAATTAAATACAGGAGTGTACAAAGACGTTTTAAAGGTGAATTTACGTTTGATTGGGTTGTATACAATTGTTTGTGTGCCTACTATTAACGTAAGGAATGTTGAGCTTTTTGAGCTTTGGGACAACATTTATGAAAAAAAGAAATATATATGATAAAATACAAAAGTGGCAATGTGTATTTTGTATGAATATATTTTTGTGGTGGTCAGAATCAAAAGGGGAACATTGGTTGTCGTGAAAGTTGCCACATTAGAGAATGAAAAAAAAACATTTGACTTGTTAGGCAATAATGATAAATAACATTGACATACATATATTAGTTTTGTTGGGTTTTCAACAGGATGGAAAAGCTGAGCTTCAGCAGCTCATCGGTGAAATGAGAGCAGAAGGAGAGAGACACCAGAGGGAGCTAGAGACCGTGAGGCAGCAGAGCAGGAGAGAGGTGGAGGACGCCCGCAGAGAGGGGCTCCACCAGTGTAAGTCAAACCACAAGAGGACAATATTTCAACCGTGACAGTTAGAAATCAGTAATGTATGGGTGTGTGAGAATGTGAAACAAACTAAACAACAGAGCAGGGGGTTCAAGCAGAGAGACCAAACTGAGCCATTTCCTCAATCAATGTTGTTGCTAATAATAACATATGTTGAAATATAACAATCCCCCTAGCTTTTGTATACAAACTATAATTACATTTAATTTTTTTTCATAACACCAGGGATATTTTTCAACCCTTGTGTTGTGTCCGAAAGCTGTTACCGTTCATGGCGAGTCAATTTTGACCCATGATTTATCTCAGTCCAAAACACTCAAATAATGACTATCATCCAATATTGTTTTAACTACATCATAACTAACTTATTATGCATTCATAACCGTACAATCCTGTTGTAATTTAATGGTATGGTTCCACAACACATTACACCACATATTTAAGTAAAACATGTGATTCAATTCACTCATATTTCCTATAGTGAAGACAGTGGATCATTACGTTATCCGACTACAATATACTATTAGAACACAATCTTTAAAACATTTTTGTAAATGATTGTTACAGTGGGTGAAGGGGGTGGGGCGTCTAAAGTCAAAGAAGAATCTTGATTGGGCCAAATTTGAACCCGAGTCCCCCAAAACAATTCTGCTGACCCGAACACCAAATTATACACTTTTCTTTTTAGAGACCTTCAGACTTGGCTAAAATTGTCAAAATTAGTTTTTTAGTGTTGATATAGCCGTTGTGGAGGATATCATGAAGCCTTGTTCCGATAAAAAAAACTAGAGAGTAGTTATTATATAATTTTAACTTGAAACGGGTCACGGGAGACCCGAACACAACATAAGGGTTAAAGAAACTGTCATTTAAAGGTTTAAAATTAAAAAAATGTATGAATATGTGATAGAGATTATCAAAATTGATGTTGGTAAAAAGATAAAACTCAGTAAAAGTGGAATGAGTGATACATACGTGTTGATACATTTTGTCAGATGTGTCCTTTTATATATATATATATATATATATATATTTAAATGTCTAATGTAAGCAAAGGTATTAAGCCTCTTTCCCTTCATTTTTCAGTCAAGCGATATTAAAGTGACAATATTAGAGCTTCATCACAACAATGATGTCAGCCACCAGGATCAGAGAGCAGAGGCAAAAGACCCAAATAGTAAAAATGTATATATGTATATTTTCTGTCAGTGGACGCTAAAGATGCTGAAGTAAAGACTCTTCTGGAGAAAAAGGATCTGGATCTGGGGGAATTGAAGAAGAGGCTGAAGGATCAGGAGAGGGAGAGGCAGAGCGAGCTCCTCAAGTTACAGATGGAGGTAAAGAAAAAGCTTCTGCTGGAGATATCACCACGCATAAAGAAGAAGTCACAAACTATTTCTTTTTTCTGAGTTGACAAGACTGTTGTGTAATACCCACATTGATTAAGTATAGCCTGGTATTAGGTTATTATACAATACAGCTGTATTCATAAAGCACGTTAAAACCTCCAGACCAAAGTGCTGTACAGCAGGGCTATTCAATTAGTTTGGAATGGGCCCGGTTGATGATCCAAAGCAAGGGGCCGGGGAAAAGATCGCTTGAAATATGAGCAATCGTATTAAGAGCTTCAGATACAGTAAATACTACAACAGTGGAGTGCATTTATTGTGTTTAATTCAATCAAACAACATAGCCCCAATGCCTTTAGAGATCTAAATGGAACTCAGTAGGCCGACATGTGAAGCTAATTTAACCATCAACATCATTTCATTTGATTTAGGTGAAATGATCTAATCATTCACGCAGAGATGCAATCAATGACAGGAGTTGTCACTACAGTAGCTAGTAGGTGGGTTCGAAACCCGAGCCCACCGAAGTTTTCAGGCAATGTCTTCCCCTCTATCTCTCAATGTAACACCTTCTCTGGAATAAAGGCACTCTGGCCCAAAAAGAAATCTTTAAAAAAGTAGATTAGATTTTAACATTATACTCAAAGGGATAGCCCTGCTGTAGTCAAATAAACAAATCACACAGCACAGCTCACACACCATAAAACAAGTACAAGTAAATAACAATAGACAATTTAAAAGTGGGGTAGGTAAGTTTGAGAAACCGGCTCGAGAAACACTTTTTGTTATATTCCATGGAATGCTCTTAACATCCCGATAGCAATGAATATCTTAAGTGCTTTGACAAAAAATCCGTGTGTTGGAGGAGGGGCTCTGTAAGGAAGTGGCAGATTTTTTCCGGTTGTGTATTTTCAAATTCTAGCGCACTCGAGCGGGTTTCTCCAAAATGGCCGACCCCACCTTTAAATGCAACAATCTAACATATTTCAATACACTAAGGAGAAGAGGTGGGTTTTAAGAAGTGCTTTAAAAACAGACAGTGTGGACAGTTATTGATTATGATTACCCAATATGAAGGTCCAGCTTCTCTTAAAGCAGCTTGTGATTGTTTTGCTGTGTACGTTTTGACAGTTTGGTGCGAAGCTAGCCAGAGTTCAGAGTACAGCTCAGTGGAGCCAGCAGCAGCAGCAGCAGCAGCACGGCTCCAACCTGCTTCCTCAGAGCGTCTTCAAGAGGGTGAGCAGCCCACACACTACATCATTCAAAGCAACTTTATTGTCAATCTTCCAGTTTGTGTGTACAGACAGAGATCGAAATACCGTTTCCCACAATCCGAATATAAAAACAAATATATATAAAAAATATGTGTGCAGATATGTATATACACAGAATCAAAGACACATTTTTACATGTGCACACATTAAGTAAAAACACAACAATCAATATATACAAAATAACAGTCACTTCAATATTTGAGAATGTACATTAGTGCAAAATTGTCCATAGAATGTGAAAAATATTAGTGCAAGATTACAGAGGTTAACTAACAAGGTACAAATCACATGTAAAAAGTGATCTATCCGTGGTGCAGGAACGTGTTTCCAACTGTCAAGCAGTGTGTGCAAGAATGAGGAGAACATCATGAGCCAAAGTGATGTCTACTCGTGCAAGGGGAGTGAGATTTGAACCTTAAACCTTTCGCTACTTCCGCTGAGATCAAAGCGAACTGTATTGGATTTAACCTGGATGTCTCATCCTGTAATTCCCCAGCTTCTAGGAAACATCCTAGAAGCTACTTCCTAGCATGCCCCATCATCATTTAGGTTGCACAGTGAGAGGCGACAGCGCGAATGTTTCTCTTTCGCCAAGTAGAGACAGACAGCCTCTGAAGTTCTGAAGTTATAAAGGTGGGTGTAAGGGAGGTCTCAGACACTGTCGGGTAATCCAACAAGCACTTAATTTGAAGTGCGCTGATCCCATGAGATGTGCTGTGCTACAAAGAAGTCGTTTAGTACTGTGTCAATTGCAGCTCAGCAGGGAATTATAAAATAAAGGAATGACACCTTGTACTATCTCTGCAAGGCATTAGCTGCTGGTGGGGGGGTCCAAGGGAACAGATGATCACGGCCTAAGGCCAAGGGGGGCACATGTTAAGTCTATGGTAACAATGCTACATCATGAACAACAAATCTGTGTTATTAAAGGTGTGAATAGCTGCAAGCAGGACAGTCCTGTTGGGCTAAATAACTGAGCAAACAGGCGACTCTAATGGAGGTTAAATTGAGTTACATTTTGATGATGTGTTCAAATCTTTTCAGTACAAATTTGTATTTGAGCGAAGTTTAAATATGAAACTACCCTCATCCGCTTATATTGTGTGTGTGTGTGTGTGTGTGTTCCCTCAGAAGCTGCAGTTCTTCCAGGAGGAGAAAAACAAAGAGATTGCGGTTCTGCGTCAGAGAATCAAAGAGTTAGAAGAGAACCAGCGGGTGAGCGTCTTCAGCGACAGCCGGCTGAAGAAGAGGAAGATCTAGGTTGTTCAGAAGCTCCACCGGTGCATGAATCTCCTTCAGGGGACTAAAGCAATTTCCATATTTGTATATATCGGTTTCATTTTCAAGAAAAACCAGTTCCTGTAGAGATGTTGACGTACTTTACATACTGCTTGTTGTGATCTTTAATGCTAGACTCTACAGGTGACGGCACGTTTGACCGCAGGCCATGTTCTTTTCTAAGGCTTTAATCCAATCAGACGCCTGCATGGGGGGGGGGGGAAGAAGTAAAAGTGAGTAAATGAGATCGCTGGAAGGCCAATCCCGTTCCAAGAATTCGACTCAACGAACTTGTGTTCTACGTATCTAGACTTTTTTTCAAGCAGGGCTTTTGAACTGTAGTTCCCATTGTTGAATTGTATGAAAGTCAAGAAGAACTTTTACATCTACTTGAATACATTAAAAAATATGTTTCTTTATTTGGCTATATCAACTAACTTTTACTAATTTATTTATTAGATGACAGTAGAGTGTTCCCTGAGAAAATTCATATTTATGAGGTCGAAAGGGTTCCTGATCATTACTCCTGCCTACAAACATTAATACCAAATCAGCATTCCTGTGGTTGATTATGTAATATATATATATATATATTATTTATAAATCCCAGCCAACCGACACTGCAACTATATTGGATTTTGAAAATAAAATGTATATGCATAATCTGTACAATTTCCACCTTAAAATGTCTAATAACGACTAGACCCATTTAACATGTTTGGTTGAGTTGTGTTATTCAATTTTTCCCAATGTGTCCTACAATTTTCAGAACAGAGATTATGAGGTAACCGTTTCATTTGGTGGCCTGTATCTCCTTTGTGCAATCATCAGAGTTGTGGTTGTCTGCCAGAAACTCATTATAAATTGAAATTGTATCCAGTTTTAAGTACATTTTTACCCTCAAGATCCATGTTGTTTCTTACTATACATTCAAACCGGATGAAGGGTATTATTCATTAGACGTCTGGATCTGAGGTTTTCAGAGAAACAAGCTAAGCTAACTTTAACCTCCAACGAAAACACTCGTTTTTACTGTAAAACTGCTTTTTTTCGTTGTTTTTAGCAGCTTTTATCAACAGGTCAGTTTGTTTCGGAGATGAAGAGACCTCTCTGAAGTATATGGCCCTGTTTAAAACATTCTGAAAGTTTAACAATAAAGTCGTCCTAACCGAGAGAAGCTGACTGCAATGGCAAACGCCAACGCTTCCCTACTTTACGATGCTACCAAACTCTCCATCAGAATTTAGAGACCCCTAGTAGCTGAAAATTACATATCGTGTGTTTAAACAAATAAACCCAATAGTCACAATTTGAAAAGCTAAAAGTATAAAAATAAGTATTTACAAGATGAGAAAATGTAGATAAAAGTAAGTAGGGGAGAGTGGGGTAAATTGAGCCATTTTTTAGTTATGCTGTCCTCTAAGCAAGGAGAAATTACACATAGTAAAAATGAAAACACACACCTATAATTCAGGATGTCTCCTATCAATGGCAATGATAAGAATTCATATTTGATCAAGGGCAGTGAAAATATTACTTCTTAAAAAAAAAAGTCTTGTGGCTCAACTTGCCCCAGGTTAGGGGTAAGTTGATCCAGGTCAGGGGGTAAATTGAACCACTGTTCAAACCTGGGCATACCTACAACAAATCTTAAAGGTAACTATAAACAATAAATAACAAACCAAATACAAGTTTAGTTTTTCAAATATTTTTAATATAAATTTCGATTTAATTGATTTTTTTTTAACATGTTAAAAGGAAAAGTAATCACACAAATGGTGATACAATTTCATACATCTTACCAATCAAACACAGGGTAAATTCAACTTTAAATGTAGCCTACAATGAGCTCTTATTATCAACTTGGCCTACTTTCATTCATTTCTCCATTGAAAAACTGGCTCAATTTACCCCACGGCTTTTACTACCATTTTAGAAAAAATAGCCTAGCATTAAAAGTCATCTTTAGCTTAATGATTCACATGGTTTAATACGCATCAACATATACAATATGTGTTTAAACCTGGATACATTTTTGTTGACATGACAGCCGATATAGCTGACATCTAGAAAATGTACTTTGACAAGCAAAACACGTTTTTTTGTAAAAATGTTTACTTACCAGACCACAATGAGTATCTCTCTTTCACAAGCAGTGAGAAATGGGTGGAGCTTGCATACTTTCTGGTCACTTGATTACAACTATAAGGCGTTGCCTGCAGGGGGTGGTTCAATTTACCCACTGGCTCAATTACCCCCTTCTTCTCCCCTACAATAAGAATGTCAATTTACCCTGAGAATAACATGTTTTAAAGGTGCTGAGTTTGCCGCTATAAAAGCTGTAGCACTAAATGTTGTAAACTGAATATATTTAGGGTTTTTTGGCTGGAAAAAGTGTAAAATGAACAGTGGCGTTTCTAGGTGTACAAAACTGGGGGGGCAGAAAGAGGTCGGGGGAGAGAGAGAGAGAGGGGGGGGGACGAGAGAGAGAGGGAGGAGAGAGAGAGGGGGACGAGAGAGAGGGGGGAGGAGAGTGAGAGGGGGAGTGTCAAATTACATACTGAAGACCACAGGAGCAACACTGTGAGCGCATACATTTACGTACACAGCGTGGGGATGTCATAGTAATGCACCTTCATACATGGAGTAAAGGTCACCATCACAAAGTAATTCTTAACAATAACAACAACCGTAATGCTTTAGCATTAAAACACCATAGACTGTAAATATAAGGAAAACACAGACACTCATCATCGAGGTCACAATATCAATCGATCCAGCAGAGGCAAAACACTGAAGATCAACAAAATATATGACATAAATGAACTTACCAAAGCTGAAGGCTCACTTGAAAAGAAAAGCGGCACGGCGGTCCTTCCTCTGACAGAATGTGTCTATCACTTTGGGGATGAAGTCCTGTAGTTGCTGGATCAACTGGCTTTCAATTGAAAGCATGGCCAATGCGTTAAGTCGCGGCTGTCCCATGGTGTTGCGAGTGAAAGTCTTTATCCTTTTGAGGGTGGAATAGTTCCTCTCTGACTCGGATGTCGTCATCGGAGTTGTCACTATTATTTTGACCAAAATAACAGTCTCAGCAAACGTTTCCTCCAAGTTGTTCTCGTGAATGGATTTCATAGAGACAGGGCAGTGTTTCCAGTGTGAAGCTCACTGTGGCGGTAGAGCGTGGTCAGCTCAGACTTCAACTTCTCCTTGTTTCCCAACGCAGGCCACAGTTTCACGGCGCAGTCAAGCTCAGGTGTAGGAAATGACAGGACATGCTGTGGGAAGAATGAGCTGTCAACAAGCTTTGCAGCGATCAAATGGTCACTCTGTGAGAACCTCTGTTCCACCTGTGAGATGACTGTGTCACAAGCCTCCTTCATCACCGGCGCTGTGCTGCTGACTCGTCGGCCTGGCTCGTCTGTTCCATCATGAGCAGTGGCGGCCAATGCATCAGTTTTCTGCCTCATTTTCTGAACATTTTCCTTGAAACGGCAGAGCGCGCTGTTGATCCCAGGTGCATCGATGCTTTCGTTTTTGCAGAGTGTTGTATAGAACATCCACTTCTGGCATAAGCAACGAAAAAAACTCCAGGAGCTGCATAAATGCTCGGTTCCCAGCAGTTTCTTTGACAGGCCGTATGCCTCACTTATGGTGACCGCATCCCATCCTGGTTGTGCGCGTATATGCTTCATACACTGAAGTAGTGCATCTCGGGTCTCCCAAACCGCGTTCACAGTTCTGCTTTTAAAGTTCCATCTCAACAGCCGGTGGCCGTGGGATGCGTCTCTGTGTTGCCTCTGCAAGAGCTGCAACACGTTTTGGAGCAACCGGAGAAAAAAACACCTTCAGGATGCTCATCCTTGCTGAACACAGTTGCTGCAGGGTCAGGTTCAGTTGGTGGGCGTAGCAGTGAACAAACTGAGCGTTTGGGTACGTCTCCTTCATCACCGTCTGTACCCCCGCGCACGTTACCGCTCATGACGGCCGCCCCGTCATAGGTCTGAGCGATTAGCTTTTCTTTCAGCTTCAGGGGTTCCAGAACAGCCTTGATGCTGTTAGAGAGAGCTACACCAGTTTTGTCCTTACTTCCACAAACTCCAAAAAACGCTCTGTTAACTGTGAGGTCAGGCATAATGTATCGCAGCACTATCACCATTTTGCGATTTACAGGAGACATCGGTTGTCTCGTCGGCCTGAACGGCAACAAATTGATGTGTTGTCCACTTGCTTGGCTATTTCCCCCCTGTACACATCATACATGCAGTCCAAGAGTTCATTCTGTATGGTGCTTGATGTCCCTTTGAAAACAAGCTGAGCTTCGTAGTGCCGTTGAAGCCTGGAATCGCCCTCACACATTGTCTCGAAAATTGACCTGAATATCCCTGGATTCAGAGAGTCCGCCGACTCGTTGTGGCCCCCGCAGTGCTGTCTCACATTTCCCACACAGTTTAATACAGGTGATGATCCGACCAAGCACGTACCTGTTTTTCTTCCACCTTCCTATTATGAGAATCAATGCCGCGTCTGTAGGCGCTGTCAATCTGAGCTGCAACATTCACCCTTCCAAGTAATCCCAATTTTACGGCATTTTCCAAATGACTGTTGCTGCTCTCATGCTTCATTGTCCTCTCCGAAAGATGCTTTAAGTCCTTGTAACCTGTCCTCGACCAAGTACCTTGATCTTCACCAAAAAGCAGGCAAGGAAAGCAAAAGAGGGAATTCTTCTGGATGCTCGCCGTTAGCCATTTCTTTTTAGCAAACCACTCAGCGTTAAACCCACGTTTAACTTTGCCCGCAGTCTGGACCATTTGGAAATCCGGTGGATGGTGGGCACCGAGGCGCTTTACCTCCAGTTTCTCTCCGAGACTAAGTGTCTCAAATGTGTGCTCCAGTAAATGGTCAACTTCATTCATTTTCTTTCAGTTTTTTACTTCTTTTAATCGCTGGTGATGTTAGCTATATGCTGCTCTCTCGTCTCCTCTTCAAACTACACGTGACGTTTCGCAGCACTGCACACGTGAGTACTTACAGCCAATCAATTCTGAATTATGTGAGATGACGTATGGTGGGGATGGGAGCACTATGCCCCTACGGTCATTATTTTTTGGCCACACACATTAAATAGAAAAATACTCTGAGCATGCGCAGTGTAGTTTTTACAATCACCGTTCACTTAGACCAGGGGTGCCCAACCTTTTTTGAACCGAGAGCTACTTTTAAAGTTGACAGTCTGTCGAGATCTACCAGTCCAAATAGAGAGGCGTAGCCTACTACCAGGTAAATACACACTTCTACTTGTATAAAACTGACCTTCGTACGATTAATACTCCATAAAATAATGCAGATCCTTTATCTTACCTCTTTCTAATCTACACACATACAAGTATTTAACTGAAGTTACACAACAGTGTTGTTGATACAGAGTTGGAGTTTATTCACACGTCACATACTACAGTGGGTAATGTTTTCAAGAAACATTGAACAGTGCTGCCACATATGACACAGGAAAAAAAGAAAATACTCTGAACCCTTTCTTTGCCATTATATAAAAATAGTGTTGCTACAAAAGTATAAATGAGGCTTACTAATAAGACAACTGAGATCTGAAGCTACAGGAATCTGCTGCAACAGTGCAATAAAAAAGACAAAATTAATAAAATCAAACAATTTTTTTGTTGCATTTTAGTAGATTATAAAAAGAAATGCCTTTAAAATAGGATGCAAGCAACACTAGTTTCTTAACCTGAATTGATAATAGACTATAATCAATTTAAGTTTGCATTCTTATACCATTTTGTACAATAATTATAATGAATAAGTTCAAACAAACTAAAACGTACAGCTGATTAATAACTGTATCTAACTTGAGTTTTTATCAAAAACCTGTTGAAATGCTACTGTTTTTTACTGTCCCCAAAAGCGCATCGGCAGCCTCCAGGAATGCTTCTTTCACAACTTCGCCGTCTTTGAAAGACTTCATGTGTTTCGCAAGAACGTGACTGACACGTTAAGATGCTCTGGTAGCAGCCTTGCTCTTGTTGTTGGGCCTGGTGGAAATGGACTGGTGTGCATTTAGCTGTCCTTTCAGGCCCCTCCCCTTTTGGAGCGTAGGGCAGAATTAGGAGGGAATTCCGTCTCGTAGCATTTGTGCACTGTTTTGAAATGCCGCTCCGAAATTACCCTTCTTCGATAAAGCTACGCTCGCATTGCAGATGAGACAGATGGACTTTGAATTGGAATAAATACAAAAATAATCATCCTCCCACTCGGAGTTAAAATTATATGTTTTGCTTCTGCCATAATTGCGGTCTTGTTTGTGTGCGGACTGTCACTCCTGTTGACATGGGCTGCTTCTCAGGTCGACTATTTTAATTTCCTCGCTCCTCGGTCTCGGTCTCACCGGAAGTTGATTTGCCTGCGCCATCTTGAGTACCGTCCCATGGCTCTTATTTCTGCCGGAGGACCGAGGATCGAGGAGCGAGGAGCGATCATGGAGGAGCGATAACCGAGGAACCACCAGACCATCCTCCGATGAAATCCTCAGATACTCGCCCCGCCCCCTTACTGTGTATCGCTCACTGATTGGACGATGCAGCGCATGCACTGATCTGATGCTTCTTGACATGAGAGCAAGGAGTGAAGAAAATACATGAATCTCACGGGAGTCACTCCTCAGTTTATACCGTGTTTTGTTTCAATTCATGTATCATTTAGTTACAAATATGTGATATATCTGAACAACAAAGTGGTCAAAAATCATTTAATTCATTTTTTGGAAACATTTTCATGATCGCTTTTTTCGTTTTACATTTTCATTTATTGTCATTTCCATTCAGTCAGTCATTAAGTGCTATTAAATGTTAATTTACTACATATCCAAACAAACAAACAAAGTGTGCAATCCAATGAATGTTAATCTAACTGGGTTTTGATAGATAACATATCTCTTTTTCTTCTCTCAATTATTTTATTTATTTTGTGCACTCTAATCAATATTAATCAAACTATTGTTCGTTTATAAATTTTAAGAATGGCGTTTATCTTTTTTGAGAATGAGTTCTTATTGTATTTAATGTATTTGGGTCTACAACAGATGATACAAATGTTTGTGTCAGTAAATGTGTACTAACAGAGGCGGGGGTGTTTGTGAAAATAACGGGAACAGAGCTGCTGTCAGACGATCAGCTGTGCGGCGTCATCACAAACGGACGTCGCTTCACGTGACGCTCCGGAGGAAAGGACGTCCCATTGCTCTTAAAACTCATTTCCCTGCTTCTCGTGGTTTCCTTGCGTCTCTCCATGCTTCCCTGGTGGGAGGGACTAAACGCAGGGAAACGACGCAAGTGAGGGAAGCAAGGATTTCATTTAATCGACCTGAGAAGCAGCCACGGACAACGTTAGCGAATTAGTGCACTGCCCACTAGCCACGCCCCGACACATGGGGTCATGCCGGCCAATCACAAAGCTTTGATGCGTTCAAGTGCATTATTCTGGCCCAGGAAGATTATGTTATAGGACATTAACGATAAAACTGAATATTGTTGTTCTATTTTTAGACACATCTCGCGATCGACTGGGAATCTCCCCGCGATCGACCGGTCGATCGCGATCGACTGGTTGGGCACCCCTGACTTAGACTGTGAGAGGGAGGGGCAGGATCGGGTTTTGTCCCACATGGCTCTAAACAGCTCAAAACGGCACTCTAGACACTAATTAGAAGAACACAGACTAAAACAGAAATGTACAGACGAATCAGATTATTAAACATGACCTTAAAATATATTTTATATGTTTTTTTATTTATTTTTTAGTATTTTTTTGTAATCATTATTTGTAATACTTTCTTCTGACACTAGGTGGGGCTGTGCCCCACCTGCCCCTAATGACCCGCCGCCACTGAAAATGAACAAGAACTTTCAGGAAAAAGATCAGTCAATAATGAAAACAATGGTGCTCCAAGTATGCGTTAATAACTATCTTGAGGACTTTTGAGTGTAGCGTGTCCCTGCTGTTCCTCCGCTGCCCCTCAAGGACACCACACCTGTATAAAACGCTCCTGCTGCAGTGTGACCTGGAGTTTTGTAATCCCTTTATCTCTGCTGCTCAGCGTCTAAAGCGGACAGACAGATGAAGCTAATCTCTATGGGAACATCGCCTAACACCCTTACATAGCATTTAATCTTCATAAGAGCCCAGAGATCAACTCCATAGTGTCTCACACTACACCTGCAAACCAATACTGTAGTTATGCATGCTGTGGATACATGTTCACATTCGTCGTCTTTTGAATCCCTTTTGGCCACTTTTTGATGCCGTGAGGTGATGTAAGCAATTTGAAGGGATTGACATCGAAGCAAATTAAACCAGGATTAGAGTTCATGACACCACCTTAATCCTTCATCAGTGGAGAGGACACTTCTGCTCAGTGTGCGGGGGGGACAGACAGGCAGCATGACAAAAAATGTGGATGCCAAAACCAACTTCGTGTAATGGAGTCCACGGCTCACAGCAGTTTGGAAACTTGGTAAGAAACAAGTATTTTTCTATATTCTTGATGTATTTGTTAAATAGATAGCCATTTGACAATTGTAGTCCAGTAAACGTGTAGTATTATGGGTACAAACTGTTGTAAGGCATCTATTAAAGTCCTACGTCATATTGAAGTAGAGCTTTAACAAGAAAGTCAAAAAAAAAGGCAATTATCTTAATATTAGATCAATCATTTTACTATTTGTTTTAATGCCAGAAATGGTGTTTTCAGCATCTTAATTATGGAGATTTGCTGATTTCCTCACTTTATTATATTGTTAGAGTTAATATATTTAGTTTTGGACTGACATAACAAGCGATGTAAAGACATTACCTTAGCCTTTATGCAACAAATTGAATTTGATACTATTTTCCAACTTTTAAAGTTATTAAATGTAATAATCAAAATAATCTTTCATTGCAGCCCTACTGTGATGCACCAGATAACTTCAGGTGTAGAATAATTATAATTGATAATAAAGGAACAGGCATCTGGTATCACCTCTTACCTTACTCTTACATGAATGCACTTTCCAGTGAAATAAAAATGTGGTTTTTAACATCCTATTAGCTTTTTAACAAGGTAAAAAGTTACCACACTGTAATGAGCAGTCAAGGACTTTGTAACTGTGTCTTTTCAGATGAGCTGCTCTGCCGGCAGCAGGCATGCTGGGTAGGCAGTACCAGGTGGCGAGCACCAGGCTCCACCACAGCCGGCACAGCCTGAAGGACACCTCTGAGGTGGGCCCCGAGGACGAGGAGGCGTACCCCCTGCCGCGCCTCAGCCCCCTGCAGAAGCTCACCACAGACTTGTGCAAGGATGATAAGACCATCAAGGACCTGGTGGTGGGCCGCAGGGTGGGCTTCTACAAGGTCCGCGGGGAGATCGGCTTCGGGACGTTCTCCAGGGTCAAGTTGGCTTTCCACGCTCTGACTAAAGGTACATGTAAAATATATCAGACTGTGGGAATAACCTTCAACCTTTGCCTGGATCCTTTCACTGGTACATATGGCTTTAATGTCCAATCCATTTAACTTACAAAAAAAATTGGGATACACTCAGTTTATGGGTACGGGTATGGGTACACACAGCTTTTGGGCATGGGGGTTCATATAAGTTATAGTGGATGGAGTCTCTTGTTAAATATCAGGAACAACAAAAGACTGCATATACATTTTATACACACTACTCATAAAGTAGAGTATTGCACAACTCTAAAAATTACACCCACCCATCAGCTGTTCACAATAATATGATGCATTGTGGGTATTGTATGCTTGACTTGACATTCATGGATGCAGACACATATAATATAATAATTTCTTAATGAACACATTTACATAACCCAAACTCCAGGTCATGTTAGCAAAACTCTGGTCCTTCTGCTTTTGTTTTTATTATTAGTAAATCAGCACTCTTTAGTAGTATTTCATATAAAATGTCATGCAGTAGTGATGCAGGCTGCAAAAAAACAGTATTTTCATTATCAGTTGATCAGAAGATCATATCTAAAATGTCAGGAAGTAGTGGAACAACTCATTCAAAAGGTCCAAGAGTCCAATGTGATGTTTTCAAACAGAAACCCCAAGATATTTTATGAATGATATCAAAGTAAGGAAATCCTGAAATTGGATCGATCAGAAAGTTTGGCTCTTTTGCTCAGGTGAGTAAATATGTGATCATTACAGTTGGTAAGTGTTTTTGTATTTAATAAGAAAGGTTGTTCAGTGTGTAAGTTTGTGTTCAAAATGTAATGTACATTTGAATCTCTGTTTTTGTGATGATTCATAATCAATTATAATGTACTAACTGTTACAGCACTAAGATATCAACAGACAGGCTGAAAGTGATGTCTTCAAACACATTTCTTGCCTGTCCAACAATCTAAATAGTATTAATTTAAAATATTCAGTATTCAATCAGACCTTAACACATGTTCTGTTCATTGAATGTAATGTCCCTGTGTCCTCCTCATAGACAAAGTGGCCCTGAAGATCCTGGACAGGACCCGGTTGGACAGCCACGCCCAGCGCCTGCTCTCCAGGGAGATCAGCAGCATGGAGTGCCTGCGCCACCCCAACGTGGTGTGTCTGTACGAGGTGGTGGAGACGCCCAGCCGCCTGTTCCTGGTGCTGGAGTACGCCGGAGGAGGAGACCTGCACAACAGGATCTGCACCGAGACCAAACTGTCCGACGTCACCTGCAAGATCACCTTCGCCCAGATCCTCTCTGCCGTCAAATATATGGTGAGAGATCAAACTCTGTGTTCATTTTTACCACGTGAAGTTGTATTTATTTAGTCTTTTAAGTTAGCAGATATTTTATGTTGCAGCTTGATTGCAGGGACTCAACTGAGAGCATAGAAACACTATACAGCGGTGCAGTGATGACATATTTTCGATGCGAGCCAGGAACTTAGCCTTGCTCCCTCAACAAAAAGCAATGGAATATTTCTGTTGGACTTAACAAACAAGCCCTATGTCAAACATACATTTATATTTGTTACACATTATATAGGATGATCTCCAAATTGAACCACAACTTTTATGATTTTTTAGGCATAAATGGAGTAGCCAGAAATGAAAAGGTTCGGCTATAAACAAACTACACCACAATCGCATGGCACCACCGCTAAGCGAAAGATAAAAACGTGTTAGCAACAGCTGTTATTAAGACACCTAAATGCTTCGGACATTCACAAGTGGGGTATTAACTGATTTAAAAACTGTAAAAACAATGTATTGGTCGTAGAACAAACGTGAAGAACACAGCTTGTGTCTTCAGCTTAAGTTGTATGATTTGTTTAAGGAAGTGGATTGGTTTAAAACGTGATGTTTTTATGGATTCCATTATCATTTTAATCCATTTGAATTATGTTTCACCGTGCAGCACAACCACAACATCATCCACCGCGACTTGAAGGCGGAGAACGTCCTGCTCACCAGCACCGGCTGCGTGAAGGTGGCAGACTTTGGGTTCAGCACGCAGATCTCCGAGCGCAGCGACGCACTGGACACCTTCTGCGGCTCCCCGCAGTATGCCGCCCCGGAGCTTTTCAGGGAGGAGTGCTACCTGGGGCCCCCGGTGGACGTGTGGGCCATGGGGGTCGTGCTCTTCTTCATGGTGACCGGCACCATGCCATTCCGCGCCGACACCATTGGAAAACTGCGGCGCTGCGTCATCGAATGCGCCTACACCGTGCCGCCCTGGGTGCCCGGCCCCTGCCAGAGGCTCATCAAGGGCATCCTGAAGGCGGCCCCCGACGAGCGCTACGCCCTGGACCAGATGATGGGCTGCAATTGGCTCCTCCCCGTGGAGTTCCCCTGGTCTCTGGTGCACCCGGAGCCGTCTAGCGCTCAGCAGAGCCTGCTGCACTTGGAGCGGGGCAGCATGGAGGAGGAGGTGGAGGAGGAGGTGAGGGCCACGCTGGAGGAGCTGGGCTTCAGCGCGGAACACCTGCCAGACAGCCAGACCAAACACAGCCGCAGCCCCGTCACGGGGGTGTACCGCATCCTGCTGCACCGCGCCCAGAAGAGGAGGGGCTGCGACTGTCCCCCGGTGGTGCGAGGGATGGTGAGCGACCCCAAGAGGGAGGGGCTCAGCGCCTACAGGGGCATCAAACACACATCCAAACTCTGTGTGCTCTCATAAAAAGACTGGCAGAACTGTTTTGATATATTTTCTACAAGCATGGAATTAGTGGCTTTTTTTATATTTCACATTGTGTATCGGACACTTACAGCCCGTCCACACAGCGGCGTTGGAAGCTTCTTCCAACGCTTCTGCCCATTCACTTTGAATGGGGTGACGTCACTTTTCGCCGAACTGCATTGTGGGAAGCAGAGCGGAGCTTTCCTGGCGTTTCAGGCTGCAAAAGTTGAGCAATGTTCAACTTTTGAAGCTTCTGAAGCTTTCGGTGGAAGCGTCAGCCAATCAAATCATATGCCAGTACAAGCTCTAGCCAATCAAACCGCTGCTTGTGTGTCAGGGGCGGGAGATTCATGTGATTGGTTGTTGGTCGAGCTTCAGACACGCCCGCCGGCAAGCTTTTTCCAAAGCCGCTATGTGGACGGGCCGTTACAGTTTTTACTGCAATAGCAGAAAGTGTTTTTTAAAAGTGCCTGACACATTTAAACAAACCTAATGGTGTTGAAATAAAAAATAAATACAAATTCTGACTCCTGTTTTTTTTATTTAAATATTTTTTAGAGGTTTGGAGATCTGATTCAAAGAAAAAAGCTCAAATTAGAGATGAACATTATACAAATAATAATAATTGAATGCAACTTATTGCTACTTTAGACACTTTAATTGAATAAAAAGTCACAAATGCTCTTTAAAAGCCCCCAGAGGCAGCCGCACACATTTTTTGTTCAAAATAATACCAGATTTTTGTGCAAAAAGTATTTCATGCAAAATATTTTTGTGCACCTGATTTGAGCTTTGCACACTTTGGAGTGCAGGGGAAATAAGAACATAATGTGTTTATTACACTTGCACACATGAGTTCTGTGTCCTAAAAGTAGTCTCATTGTTGAATAAAGAAAAGTCGTGCAGGAAAAAAAATCTTTGTGGGGGGTGGCAGCAGAGCAGATCTCGCGTCATTGTGCTTTGTTTACCAAAAGTTTCGCGAAGTGCCTGCTAGTAAATAGTAGTCCCGACAGCAGCTGGCAGGACACCAGATGATGCCCGGGACAAACCGGCCCAAACCAGCCAGACCCGACCCCTGCAGCCCCTCTGGCAAACTCCCTCACCCCCCCCCCCCCCCCCCCCCCATCTCTCCCCAGCTCCTCCCAGGCCCGCCCTGCCCGACCCCCACCTGCAGGACGCGGCAGATGGCGCGGCTAGGCTGCGGAGAGACATCTGCAGGCCGAACAATGGGAGCTCTGTGCGGCCCGCTGCAGCTGACAGGCCGGGAGCTGCAGCCTTTGTGCCCGGATCTATACACATGCAGATGAGGTCTGCTGGTGGAGGGACCACGGAGGGTTTTTTTTTACTACAGGGACACCAGATGACAGGCCTTAGCGCCTTCCATGCAAATCTGCTGAGTTTGAAACTTTTGTTAGTTTCATTACCGCCCCTCCCTCTTCTCTGACCCCGTCAACCCAAAACACACAACTCATCTTTGCAAGAGAAAGTGAAAACACAACACACCATCGTATTCTTTTTTTGTTTTTATTAAGCGTTTTCCACTTACAATTTCTAAAGTGAAACTGTTAGAAGATAAACATTATTTTTTTCAAACATTTTCCAAAAAATGTCAACATCATGATCACAAGTTCATAGTTTCATTTCTGTCTTCAGTACATAATTATGTTTTTTTAAATTATGTTTATAAGACAATATTACAATTATCATTGTTTTTTTACTTTATTAAGCCATTTTCTAAAGTGAAACCTTTAGAGAATAAACTGTCTCTCTCTTCTTTTTTTTATATTTTAGAATATTTGTTGTCATCGTTAAATTTCTAAAGTGAAACCTTTAAAGAATTAAGACAATTCTGGAAAGTGGGAAACATATCCGCTGATTGCAACTGTTGTCATGTTGCTCAGCGAAGAGGTCGTCTTCAAAAAGTCTCTTTTTTAGACAACCTCTTCCTCAGCACCGCTTCTTCTCCTGCTGCGCGTGCTTTCAACGTGCGACGTTTGCTATGTGGGACCACAGGACGCAAAACTCGCATCTCCTCCCTCTCCAAACCTCATCCACACAAAGAATGAGGGTCGATGCGTCGCTCTTGTGGCATACCGGACTCTCATTCACATAAAGAAGGAGAGTCATCTTGGCATGGACGGGACAAGAGGCGACGGTTCACGGGGGGCCACCTTGGGCCGGCGCCGTGCTGCCTGGACGGAAATCCTCCTCAGGAGTATCCAGGGATGAGCAGAAACAGGGTCATCCGTCACGATGAGTATTCCTAGATGAGAAGCTTTAACAGCATCTGAGCATAGAGAGGAGCCGAGGCCCGATCAGCGCCCGGGGAGGCTGATCTCAGGAACCCAGTCGTTGAGACTGCGGCTCTCCTCACAGAACAGGTGCAGCTTCGCCAGAGCAGGGTCCTCCCAAGACCCTTCAGCTGGGTTCTGTTGAAAATGAAGAGGAAATATGGTTTAGTGATGTGTTCCTTTCCAAAAAGCACCGAAATTACACTTCTCAAATGATTTAGAACCACATATTCTGAGCTCTACATACCGTGATCAGGACGCAGTGGGCATCTTCAAGCTGCTCCGCCTTGTCTCCAATGATCTCAGCCAGACGCTGCATGTCGCTCACTCTGACGATGCTGATGTCGTTGTCAAAGCAGAAGGACTGGATGAGGGTGAAGTGGATCTGCAGAGCAATATCGCACTCGAACTCCTCATCCGTGGCCAGGACGCAGAAAGACACGCTGTCTGGATCACTGTAGGGACAACATAAAAGAAACAAGCCATGAGATTCCATCCAAAAACTACCCAAAGTGTGTAAAATCACTGATTCAAATGTTGAAACATTCAGTTGAGAGTTTCATACTTACAGGTTCATAATTTTGGCGCACTCGTAGACACCAACAGTCAGGGAGTCGTTTTCTTTAGCGGTCACCAGGACCTCTTCCAAGGCGTTACCGGTGCACTGGGCACGCTCGATGGGCTTCTGGATCAGAACTTCTTCAAGAGTCATGATGAAGATGATGAAGATTATTCCACGAAGGAGATATATTTAGATAGTTTCAGTAAATCCGAAAGGGAGTAGAGTGCCTTCTGGGTCGCAGCCTCCCCTCTTTATACTCTGTAGCTCGTGCAGGGCAGTGAAAGCGCTGCGCCCTGATTGGCTGGGAGATGAATGGTGTATTGGTATGATAATGCTATTGTGACACTGTGGCTCGTGGCAGATTGATGGGGGTCATCGAGCCACGCACGCCCCCCCCCCACCCCCCCTCTGAGTGCTTGCAGCCTGGACTGAAACTAAAAATACCTTAATTAAAATAAAAAGAAGTGTTAGCACTTTAGTGCAAATGACAGAAAACTCAGCCTTTCTGTATATTTCATATTATTTATTCTACTTTATATGCATTTATTTTTCCAATGTTTTGCATGTCTTCACAGTTTATGATCATGTTTGTATGTTGTTATATGATTAACTCCATGCAGTGCCTTGTATGCTGCTGCAACCAAACCATTTCCAAAGTAAGGATACAAATGCATAATATAATATAATTGTTAAGCATGCATAACATTGCATGCATTTATAATAATTATTAAAACTCACAAGCTGCATAATTTGTGCAACAGTGGGGACAAAATAATAGAAAATATCTGAGATGTTATCCTAAAATGATCCAAACTAACTGATATGATTCATTTAAATGTGCACATCTTCAGCAGAGTTTGTAAAACCCCATAATGCACTTTCCTGACTTTCAAACATTCAATCTGAAATAAAATCTTTCTTGTTTTTTAGGTTTTTTTATTGACATTTTGCAGCACCAACATGGAGAAAGTGTGCAGCGCCCCCTCCCCCTCCAGCACAGTGAAAGGGCAGGTGGATGATGCCATCTGTGGCTATAGAGGCTGGCCATAAAAACGGCCCATTGTGAGCACAGAAGCCCTCTATTATTACGGCCATCCATACACATGCAAATGAGGAGCGCGTGCCAGAACGCTGTGGGTGCTGCGCAATCTGCACTGCTGGCCCATGCTGACCACGTGTCCACCATCAGCTGGCCCTGCTCGCTTTTTATTTATTTACTCTGGGGAGTTCAGGGGCCACACGAACTGAACTCTAAAGCAGAACTTGTGAAGTGTATTGCACTTTTGTTTTGAGTTTTGGTGGGTGGAGTCATCAAATGTCTCCATCTGGAGGATTGAATTAAACCTATTTTTGACAACTTTAGGAATCAATAAACTTTTACGCAATGTATTATATCTGTGTAATGTGTATGCAACATTTGTTTTGATGATGTTTATCTGTGCATTTAAATTCAGTTGTTTATGACACCCTTTAGTTTGTTGCCAATCACTTTCACGCACGACCAAACGTTTACGCACAACTATATATGGGGCATATTTGTATGTGTCTTTCTTTATCCATCCATACAGTATAGGTTATAAACCATTTTTCTGTGAACCTTCTATTAATTTATGATCACTTTTAGGCACGACTAAACTTTTACGCACGACTCAAATACATCTGTCTTACTGATAACGCAGTATCTCCCTAATAGTTCGTGCTTATTTGGTTCTATTCTATCTGCATACTAACCCAAAGCTCATCTCGCATTAGGTCAGACCTGCTGCCACTGCTGCGTAAATAGAGGAGGGGGGTTGGCTGTGCAGGAGACACAGGTTGGCGGTGATTGATTCAGCGCTATTGTTCTGCAGCAGGGAGAACGGCAGATGGAGAACTGTCGCTATGAGGGACCCCCCTTCTCCCCTCTCCTAAACCCAGGTCAACACCGACCCCTGGGTGCGCCGACCCTTTGTCTACAAGTCTCCACATTCACCAGGCTGTTGTCTGAGTTTTGATTACATTTGAATGCCAAAGAGTCGTGCTTATGGGCTAAACTTTCACAATGAAAAGTGTTATCTCCAAACGGTGCCAGACACGTAAAGGCAGATATAAATCAAGTTCGGGTTGCGCTGTAAACACGTGCTAGAAGGCCCAAGGTGTTTTATTTATTTATTACAACACAACTCTTATCTGTGCATTTCATCAAATGTGTATATGTATATACCATCGCTTTAAGTTTCTGCAAACTCATCAGCACATCAGCTGCATGCTAACGTTTGATTTGGAACCAGCTGAGGGAGGTTCAAACACTGAACTATTTTAGGAAGGATCAGCTTGCATGGCCACAGGGCAGGCAGGCAGGCGCGTGCAAATCGATACCGACCCATTGTTTCTGCAACACATCTGCCACACGGAGGCCTCCTCTGCAGCGCGCGACAGGTGTTGGTGGTGAAAGCTCTTTTTTTCCTGGTGACCTGCGGCGACTCGTAAACCCTGAACCTCTTTGTAGGGATATAAGGGCTCTAAAGCTGCAGGATGAGATGTTGATGTGGCTTGTGTGGTGTGCAAATAGGACTTAAGGTTGAGGGAAATAAAAGTACATAAAGAAAAAATACAACATTTTAATAAATAAATAAAAGTGTTTTTTGAGACATAACAGCCAACTTTTGTGTTTTTCTGCATTCTACTTGCATGTATGTGTCCCTTGCACCATTCTATTGCATTAAGTTATTTTAATGTTGTCTTGCATTATTTGCTATTTCTTTTTAAGTGTTTCTGTGTTGGATTGTTGGAAGAGCCTGCGATTTAAGATTTGAATTTCCAATAATAACGTGCAAAGTGCATATTACAATAAAGCCTTTGCATTTAACTGAACAAGAAGGTATGCTACCTTTTTTCAACCTCAAAACTTTAACATCCTATTTCCAGTGGACTGAAAACTGCCCCTCACGCGCAGCAGGTGCTGCCTGACTCGCTTTGTCTGCTCCCCCCCTTCACCTCCCTCCCGCGGGGACAGATGGTATCTCTCGGTTGCTAAGGGGATTGGTGCAGACAGAGCGATAAAGCACGCAGGCATCTCCAGATGCCACGCGCCTCAAGTGAGGGCCGGCCTTTAGGCATGCAAAGCAGCGGCGCGTGCCACTGCCCAATCTACAACAAACAGTGCATGCAGTGAAATTGGTCTTGAGTTATAAAAGTGTGCCTGACGTCCTATGCAAATAAGGTATCTTTGCATTATGATGACACATGAAAAAGTACCAACTGCAACGTGTTAATTGATCACTGGATCTCCAAACTTCCAATAATGTTATATTTTCATTTCGTAATAGTTGAAACGAAGTTTAATCTGCAAATATGTTGTAACTGCATAACAGTCACTTGGAGCACCTACTGTTTTGGCAAATGTGTGCAAACGTTGTGTGTATTTGAGTGTATGCATGCTGTACATTTGGAATGTTACTCTTTACAAGTAGCCAAAACATTAGGTACAATCAACATTTTAAAGAAACTCCCAAAAAGTAGTTTTTTAATACTCCTTAAATAGCATGTACTCTGTTGATAACATCAACTAAAGTCTTTAGATAAACTACAATTACATCAAGGCCAAAAAACATGCTTATCATATGCCTTAAATCCAAAGCATTTAATTGTGTACGTAAAGGAAAAAAGAAGAAAATATGTTTGCTTTTTTTTAAAACCATAAATAACGAGAGAAGATATTAAAAAAATGAACACTTACATATTTAGAGTAAAGCTGATTGCAACATTATTATGAAGGGGACTATCATATGTGCTCATAATCCCTTCAAAGTGGCACTCATTCAGACTTTCAAACCTTTTCTGGAGGCTTTAACAAAAAAAACACAATGCAGTGAAAAGATCACTTTTGACATGAATATATCTGAAGGGAACCTTAAAAAGTAGCTTAAAAACAGACACGCATCTTGAAATATGCAATAATATAGAAGAACAACATCAAAACAAAACACTTCTTGAACATTTACTTTAGTTATTTTGAACAGCTCCAGGCAGATATGATTTCCATATATTTTCTGTTCAGCAGAACATCGAAAAGACTCCTGCTTGTGGTGGGGAATCTGTTATAATGAACAACTTTCAATACATTTTGGAAATACATTTCTGCCTAGAATGGTGGCCCAGTTTACAAAATGTTAAGATGTAATGCTAAGTTTTGCTCAGCGATGTGAAGAAATCTATTATTTCTGACCAAATGACTCGATATACATATTATGACAATATTGTAAGGTGCTTTATTAACAATATCTATACTGAGAGTATTCAGTAATTTGGATTACTGACTAGGTTGTAAAGGTTTAAAACAAAACCACTTGAACAGTCTGATTCAGAAACCCTTGTCTGTTGTACAAGCCTTACACATTTAAATTACGTTATTTAACATCTAAGACAAAAGCTAGTATCATATCACAATATTGATACTGTCTCGGTCCATTGCCCAACCCTGATGTACTCTAGATGTGTATGGTCCTCGTTTGAATGTCAATGGCTGCTCTAATTCTTCCAGAACTTTGACGACCACAGTCTGCTCTTCTTGTGTGGTTTCATTATCCCTGTAAGCTAGCCAAGGCAATTATTTAAAGGTCAGAGAGTTTCTTCATCTGATCCTTTCAACCAAGACTTCCCCCGACTTCTAAGACTTTCTATAGGCACGCGCCCCAGAGAATGGGGTGGGGGCTGCAGGCCTGTTGTAGCCATTGTGCTTCACACGGCCAATCAGAGAGTGAGCGTGTGCCAGGGTCTGGGGTATATAAGCTTGCAGATTCGAAGGAAGAAGCACAAACTGTCTTTTCTGGACTTACTGACCACATCATCTGAACTATTACCTAAAGCATCATGCAGTCACCTGGGAAATCTCTGAAGGAAGCTCTGCTCTGCGCTCAGGCTGAGGAGCGACTCACTGTTGGAGTCTACGAAAGCGCTAAGATCATGACTGAGTAAGTACACTAAACGGGTTTTAAAAGTGACTTTGGCATCGTCTCTGAGCAGCCAACATGATGATCCTAGAACAGCTGCTAACTGATCTCTAACCCTGTCTCTTCTTTGTTCCACAGTGATCCAGACAGCGTGTCTTTCTGCGTCTTGGCCACCGATCATGAGTTTGACATCGCTCTGCAGATCCACTTCACCCTCATCCAGTCCTTCTGCTTTGACAACGACATCAGCATCGTCAGAGTGAGCGACATGCAGCGTCTGGCTGAGATCGTTGGAGACAAGGCGGAGCAGCTTGAAGATGCCCACTGCGTCCTGATCACGGTATGTAGAGCTCAGAATATGTGGTTCTAAATCATTTGAGAAGTGTAATTTCGGTGCTTTTTGGAAAGGAACATATCACTAAACCATATTTCCTCTTCATTTTCAACAGAACCCAGCTGAAGGGTCTTGGGAGGACCCTGCTCTGGCGAAGCTGCACCTGTTCTGTGAGGAGAGCCGCAGTCTCAACGACTGGGTTCCTGAGATCAGCCTCCCCGGGCGCTGATCGGGCCTCGGCTCCTCTCTATGCTCAGATGCTGTTAAAGCTTCTCATCTAGGAATACTCATCGTGACGGATGACCCTGTTTCTGCTCATCCCTGGATACTCCTGAGGAGGATTTCCGTCCAGGCAGCACGGCGCCGGCCCAAGGTGGCCCCCCGTGAACTGTCGCCTCTTGTCCCGTCCATGCCAAGATGACTCTCCTTCTTTATGTGAATGAGAGTCCGGTATGCCACAAGAGCGACGCATCGACCCTCATTCTTTGTGTGGATGAGGTTTGGAGAGGGAGGAGATGCGAGTTTTGCGTCCTGTGGTCCCACAGAGCAAACGTCGCACGTTGAAAGCACGCGCAGCAGGCGAAGAAGCGGTGCTGAGGAAGAGGTTGTCTAAAAAAGAGACTTTTTGAAGACGACCTCTTCGCTGAGCATCATGACAACAGTTGCAATCAGCGGATATGTTTCCCACTTTCCAGAATTGTCTTAATTCTCTAAAGGTTTCACTTTAGAAATTTAACGATGACAACAAATATTCTAAAATATAAAAAAACAACATTAAAGACAAAGTTTGTTCTCTAAAGGTTTCACTTTAGAAAATGGCTTTCACGTTAATGTTATGAATTGAATTATGAACTGAAGAAATAAACGGTAAAAATATATATATATATATGTTCTCATCCTGTGGGAACAAATATTTGAAAGAAATGACAAAATATTCCATAAAAAATATTGGAAAAATTGTAATTAAAAAATGTAACATCAAGAGGAAAATACTAAAAGTGTTTCAATAACAGGAATCCTGTTCGTCTGAAATTTCAAGATAAGAAAAAGTACTTCCTGAAGGTTTCACTTCAGCTCTATTTATCAAATGAAATGATGTGTTCACTGAATATCAGATTTATTTGTGAGATGAAAGAAATAAAATCTTTGAATTCAATATTGCCTTCTGACTTTACTTTGACTTTTAGATGGGGTTTAACTTGTTTTAAGCACAAATGAATTCCCACATACATCTTTCTTTGGCATCCTGCTCCAGTTTGACTTCTTGACTTTTTGATCCCTTTTCTGGGTTTTCTTTTGATGTGGCCGGCCTAACCACAAAGCTGAAATCAGCATGAAATTGAACACAATGGCACACATGTCTGGTATTATATTTAGCTAATCTCCCAACACTTTGTATTGAGGCAGATGTCATCTCACAGCTATACTACAATTGACACATTTCAAGGGATAGTTTAACACAAGGAAACATGCTTATTTGCTGTCTTGTTAGATTAAAAAACAGATTGATTCCACTCTTGTCTTTAAATATGCAGCTCAAGGCAAGGCAAGGCAAGGCAAGTTTATTTATATAGCACTTTTCAACACAAGGCAATTCAAAGTGCTTTACAAAAAATGAAAGACATTAAGAAAATGGCATTTAAAAGAAAAGCTAATAAAATAAACATTAAAAGAAAAAAAATACATGGATAAAAGTTACAGTGCAGTCTAAGATATAAATAGTTCAATTAAACATTAAAAGAAAAGTACATGGATAAAAAAAAGAAAAGGCAACAGTCTGTTAGCTTAGCATGAAGACGTACAACAGCTAATCTGGCTCTTTTTTGAATAAGCAACTCACCTTCTGGCTTTAGTTTAGCTGTATATTTACTGCACGCATATGCAGGTGCTCTGACTCTGTAAGAAAGTGAATAAGCATATTCTTTAGGCAGAAAGCCATGTCATCAGAGAAAGGCAGACGTTAGCTTAACACAGGATGCTCCTCTATTGTTGTTAGCCTAGCTAGGGTGCTAACACAGAGACTCAGTGAATGTCTGCTGTCCATTTCAATTTCGATGTTAGTATTTTGCAGAATTTTGGTATCGGATAAGACAGCTACATTTATTCAAATACTGTACTTACAGTTTTGAAGAACTTGTAGTTTACTATTTAGCCTACCTTAAATGCCAATTGCTACTTTTCTGCACTACACCGTAGAGGAGAATATTTACTATTTTTAAATCATTACCTTTTCACAGCTTTGGTTACTTTACAAATCAAGATCTGTTAACAAATGGAGAGTTTTACTATTGGAGCTACACTTGATTATTGTCATTTGAATATAATGTTTTTCATGGTTGGTTGGTCAGAGCAAATAATGTATAGTGAAGGTGTCACTTTGGGCTCTAGGTGAGGTGGCATTTCTTACTACTTTCATAAACCAAACAATTTAAGTAATGGGGAAATAAATTAGCACATGATGAACAAAATCATTAGTTAAAATGAATTTATATATCCAGCTTAACCAAATACAACACTCTTATCATGAGTAGTACAAATCTAATGTAATGTAAAACATATTTTAACTACATTTTTTGTCATTATACTTTCATATATTTAATGCTGTAACAACAAGACCTTTACTTGTAGCCTTTCTAAAGTGTGTTCGTAATTTGGTTGAGGAAGAAGTGATGGACAGGAAGTTATTTCAGAACAAAATTATCACAGTGACTGTGAGCTTTTAAAATGTTTTCTGACATGCGTTTACAGAAAGAAAGAAAACGTCATACTAACTTTACTATCATCATAATCGGAAGCTCTATTTCATGATGCTACTCTCATTTGGAAGTAAATTGGAAACCCAAAGTGAAGCTGCAGCTTAATGAAGCTGATCTCTTGCTCCGGGCACGCTTTGGTTTCTCTTTTCTTTCTCTCATTTGTGATTCAGAACCTTTAAGAGGCTTTTGTGTCTTTGGATCCATACTCTAAAGTCAGTCTGACCCGCATGTTGCCTGTCACTGCAAACTATTGTGCAGTCAACAGCTGCTGCAGCCCCCACGCCCCACTGTGACACACACACACACACACACACACACACACACACACACACACACACACACACACACACACACACACACACACACACACACACACACACACACACACACACACACACACACACACACACACACACACACACACACACACACACACACACACACAACTTTGACTTCCTTTTTTTCAATCTTTTTCAAACCGTGTCGATGTTTATTAATATGTTATGGACGTTTCTTGGCATAAAGCCTTACACAGAAACAAAGCAACCAAAGAGAGTGAATCTGGGGTTAGTGAGCAATTTAACTCTTGATCAGCTGGGGCCAATTTCCACTGATGTTTACACAAATGTACCTTTAAAAAGTTGAGAATTACACACCAGGGCTTAAGAGAAAGAAACAAGGTGATATAAAAACAGAGGACAAAGTCCGTAGCAATGTTTGCAGAGTTGCCACATAATATTAAGACCAGAATCATTCACGTTCTGAACCCTCACATGTGCATATACACAAACAGACACACACACACGTACACACACACACACATGCCAAACACACACACAGCACGACCAGCTGAAATGCAATCAGCCCTTTAAATCTCCACGACAACCAGCCTGCACTTACTCCATCTGCTGTTCAATTTAATGATGAGGATAAAGGGAGAGAGTGGAGGATGAGGAGGAGGAGGAGGAGGAGGAAGAGGAAGAGGCTGTGTGCCTGGCACAAGCCTACTTCCATCCATCCATTCAGGAGCAAATCCTGACGAGGAGCATCAACCCCCCTAAATGTCAGCAGACACTCGTCTGAAGTGTGAACTCAACACAGTCCCTGCAGGATGGAGATGAAGCCACTTACAATAACATTTGACTGACAGTAAGACAATAAACCTATTAGTAAAATGTTTACTAAGGTGCTAAATCAAGTGAGGAGTAGGGTCTTTTTTTTTGCGACATGCTGGCCTTTAAAATATAAAGTTAAAGGCAAACATAATCTAGTATAAAATGTGTTTTTCTTTAAAACATAATTGACAATGCTGTTGCTTTGTATTGGAAAGTTATATTTAGAAGAGAGGTTAGCTTAGCCTAGAGACTGGAAGCAAGGGAAACGGCTAACATGGCTCCATGCAAATACATAGGCCTACAAACGCCTCTAAAGCTCAGCGATTAGCTCCACACAATGCTGCAGTTTTCTGTCTGAACTGGCTCACCCTGAATAACCTGGGCTGAGCTCTGCTGCAGCCGCACATGCTGCGTCTCAAGTGTCCCTCCTCCTCCTCCTCCTCCTCATCCTCCTCCTCCTCCTCCTCCTCCTCCTCCTCCTCCTCCTCCTCCTCCTCCATCCATCAGTAGGGCCTGCGTCAGCTCTTGATGAATCTAATCACTAATTACATTAACAACCCGCAGGCTGCTCGTCCCTTACTGACACACATTTCATACAAATTATATACTTTTTTGTGATATGCATAATTCAAATCTTTATGGTTATCATTAGAATATCATCTTGTATCTTTTCTAAAGTCTTCAGAATAAAAGTTGTGTTTTTGTATGCTCAGTGTTGCAGATGTTATTGGGATGTTAGATTACATGTGTTAGCATCAGATTGTATCTCTACATGTCAACAGTGTAAATAAATATGCAGATAAAGTGTTTTCTATATGTTTACGTCTGCAGCTGCAGTTTGTAATCACAAAGTAGGAGAGGATGCACACAGACACACACACACTTACACACACTGACAGCTGTTGCCAAAACACTGGTCTGCTCATTCTCCATTCAATGATGGGGGCACGTTCAGAAGCAGCAGCAACACTGCGCATAGTGTGTGTGTGTGTGTGTGTGTGTGTGTGTGTGTGTGTTTGAGATAGCCAATTTGGGAGAATATGAGTGTTAAAAGTGTATTATTGTTATCTTCTTCTACTTAGCATTTCATATTGTTTTGTTTCACCTCATATTTTGCTCAAACTTTAATAATTTTTTATTCTGGTTGTCTGCTATTGTTGCTGCTCGTAAAACATTTTGTAACTTTACTTTGAAAGTGCCATATAATGAGGATATGTTATTACGAATAGCTTTTTGCAGGGACCTCATATAAAACAAAATAAAACATTAACTTTAGTGGCTCTGTAGATAGATCTGAGTCACTTCTATGTGTCTGTGTGCAGCAGATCAGATGGCTTGTACTTGCCCCCCCCCCTCACCCACTGCACACCCTCACCTAAACAAAACTCAGACAAAAGCTCCAGCCAACACTTCTCCACCCTCCTCAATGGGCACAAAGAGCAGAAAAACGACAGGAGGGGCCCCGCACAAAGGTGCAGCGAGACCCCGGCCCTCTCTCCTCTTTTGTGTAGAAGAATGGAGAGGTCCAGGAGCAGCTGCTGCTGGCTGCACGGGACATTTGAGACACCCCCCCCTCCCCTCCCCTCTTTCACCCAAAACACAAAGTCTGGAGCTGTGAGTGTGCAGGCTGCAGGGGTGAGGATGAGGAGGAGGAAGAGGAGGAGGAGGAGGAGGAGAGGAGGAGGAGGAGGAGGAGGAGGGAGGTTGTATACAGAACCAGAGGCACACTTTGCCTGATCAACGTAGAGCTGACTCCCCATTCATCCAGCAGATCAGCAGGAGAGGGGGGTGGGTGGAGGGGCCCTAAAGTGAAGGAGGAAAACCTTTAAAGTTGAGTCACATCAGTCATGGCACAAAGGAGTCCCCGAGGTGTGCCATATGGAGCAGGCACATCATCTGTTCAGGGATCACTCCAATAGGAACGTTCACTTCGCACCTTCTCTCTACCCGGCGACACAATCCTGCTTTCTGATTGGTTGTGGAGTTGCTGTCATTAACACAGTGTCTCAATTAGCCAGATAGATAGGAGGGCACTTTTTTGTTTTAGTGCTTTAGGATGCTCTGGGTTTCCTCTCAGGTTACTCTGACATGTGGCTGTCCGAAACAACACTTTTAAAGCAGTCTCTCTCCTTTTTAAATCCCTTTTTTAGTTTTTCATAATTATGTTATTGGTTTTTTCTCTATCAATATAGGGCTGTTGGCTCAGCTGATTTCTCCTCAGATACCAAATACAAGAATCAATTCATGACAAATTGAAACAAATCAATACAAAATATTTAAATGCA